TCGTATCATTTCCGATTCATCATAAGTTGTTCGCGTTGCCCGCATCTGTCTCCATGCGCAACTTACCTTAGATGACCATGCTCTTCGTCCTCGAGTGAAAGCGCGGTGGCTTCTCTACAGAAGCCTTGCGAACCTCCTTGCGCTTCAGGCTGTCCTCTCTCTTGAGTACCATGTCGCACCAGCTAACGCCATTTTTGGTCTCGCTGCTCGTGCCAATGCATTGATCGAGGACCTTCATCCACCCTTCCTTGTCTTTGGCGGTGTCGGCGTAGAAGTCAATGACCTCGCCGTTACCGAAGCGGATGCGGAAGCCCTCCTCAACGAACATGTAACCCTCCTCCTCTTCGGCGAAGCCGGACTTGCGGCGGCTACCTCCCCTGCCTGTGGTTTCTTTCTGAGTCAAAGCCCTGCGGTCATCGATAAGCTTGGAGGCATTGGCGAGGTTGATCGTTGCACGAGGTTGGCCAGTCGATTCGTGATAGGCCGTCAACTTGCTACCATTGAGCTTGAACATGCGACGACGCCAGTACTGGAACATATTAGCATAATGAAATCGATATCTTCCATCTGGTGACTTACAGGACAGTCTCCACCTTGTTGGCTCAAATAACCATTGTGGCATCTAGCCACCGCTTCCTCAGCCTCCTTCATTGCGCGGATGCAGGAGTTCATGCTCTTGGGGATATCATCATCGCTAGCGCCCTTGGGCTTCGGGACAAACAGAAGCTGCAACTCAAGCTTTCCGACCTTGTAAGGTGCTCGGCGGCGAGTCTGAGTAGCTCCCGTCTTGCTCTTAACGCTGCTCATGCCACCCACTTCCTCGGTCGCCCACTCGTTGAAGCAATTAATGTCGACAACGTATGGCCTTCCAAAGCAGTGTTGCTCATGATCCTTCAAGCAGACGTACGATCGACCGAAGCTTCCATCATCTGCGGCAAGAGGGGAGAGTAGATCCCAGGCGGTAGGTTGCTGAGACGTGCGCTTAGCTGCCATCTCGCTCTGTTGCTTATCCGCAGCGCGTTGCTGTTCTTCCTTCTGTCTCATCTCAAGTTCTTTGCGCTTCTTTGGCGAGGTAAAAACGCGGGAAAATGTAGATGGCTTTTGAACCTTCGCTTTTGTTGGCGATTCAACAACGCGCTGTGGCGGCGGCTTTTGAAGCTTAGCATTCAAGGTGAGTTGGAATTCCAGTTCGTTGGGAACGACCAGTTCAAACTCTTGGCCGATAGGGGCATTCTTTCCAAGTTCAAGCCACGCTGTCGTGACACAGTGAACCCCATTGTCCAAAGTGAGGGCAAACCAGGTGCGTTCATCTTCAAGGGAGGTTAGCAACTACATAGATAGAAGAAGGGTTTATACTGACTTTTTGGCAATGGAAGGCCGAGATCCTTAACACCGATAACCTTGACGAACAGTCGGCCTCTCTCGCCATTGTCGGGCTCGTTGATATCAACCTGAGCGTCTTCTGCAACCATCCCTAAACCAGCACCGGCGACATTACTTTGTTGCCCAGGTAAAGGAGGTGCTGGTCCGGATGGCATCCTTTTCCTGCCACCAGTGCTGTCTCTCGTGCTTCTCTTCCTCGGCGAGCCATTCCAAGGTTCCACGGTCCATGATTGTGGGCGGGGTTGTTTCACCGGAGAATTGCCTGCAGATCGAGTGTCGCGGAAATTTTGAGCTTCTACGTCAGTACCGCTGCTCGCAACTACAACCTTGGTGTTTTGACGCATAAGGTATCCGCGCTGTTTCCGAGGGGTAACGTTAGCATGAATTTCTCCCAATTTTAGAGTACTGGTTTGTAACGTGGACACTTGTCCATAGTAACCTTGGGAGTCAATTGGGTGGCAATGAGAAAGGTTAAACGCAACCTTTTGAGCTTCAATCAGTCGATCGAAGTCCTGGTCGAGACTAAGGGCAAGATCACTTCCGATGTCCAGTGTAAGGCCATCCTGTTTGAGGCTTGGAATTCGCTTCATTCCGTCGCTCTCGGCGACAGCTTCCGGCTCCTCTAAATCACGCTCCATGCTCTGAGAAGGCCGGTTGCGGTGTTGCTGCGGGATGGGTGGGATCGGGTATTCGGTGCTGATTTGGCGCCTAGCTTCCCTCATGGCCATTATATCTGACGGAGTAGCGGAAGGTCGGGTCTTGAGCTTTGAACCAGATGATGATTTGATAGTTGCGGTTTGTTCTGGGACAACTGGCGAGTCTGCGGAAGGAGATTCCTCATAAGATACCGCATGATGCACAACTGATTCAGGAGTGCCAACTTCTTCCTCACTCTCTGAACCCCAGCCAGCGCCGTCATAATCGGGCTTGGGAAGAGCATATTTCGCGGGGGTGCCTGGTGGTGTAGAGGTACGTTCAGCGTCAAGAGGCTCAATGGCTGCCTCAAATGTACTGCTCGTTTCATCCTTTGGCGGGGGAGGTGGGGGAGTAGGTGTCATGTATGATTGAAGGCTCAGTCCGAAATTGTTGCTGTCCAAGAATCCAGGCAGTGCTGGCAAAGAGGCTTGGTCCTCCTTGTTTTCAGTGTCAACTGAAGGGATGTCTGATGTTGGCGCGGTTAAGCGGGGGATTGGTGGACCCTCATCTTCTGGCGCGTTGTTGGACTCAAGCTCAGGGCTCTTGTTTTGTGGAGTCTCGTCTGAATATTGGCTATCCAAATCTTCATCCTCGCGAACGACAGAATCGTCGCGGACGACAGAATTGTTAATGTCATAGTCTTCCACTCGAGATTCGGGGCGTCCCTGATACATCTCGGGAATGTCGTACACATCAATCTCTGAATCTTCTTCTTCAGGCTTGATAATCACGCTGCTGTCATCATCGGCGATTGTGATATCCTCAGTGGATGGAATAGCTACATCAGGGTCTGGTGCAGTTGTGCGCTCAAGTCGAGAACTTGGCGGTGGAGAGGAAAAGTTGTACTCTGAGTCCAGTGTAAACGCATCGTGGCCGTTGACCTTGCGCAGAATAGATTCCCTGGAGACTCGCTCTGGGAGCTGATAGTCGCCTAGATCAGCAAGAGTATCTTCATCTTCGTGGATTTTGATTTCGCCATCATCAACTTCTGGCGTTGCGCTGCATCGGTCACGCGCACCGCCACGCCTCATTCGGCGCTCTCGCTGCGTCTCTGCCACAGGTTTAGCTTTGTCGTCATTCTGGATCATCATCAGACGAAGGCGTTCTTCAAGTGGCATGCGCGCTCCGGTTAAGCCTTGGATATCGGTCTTGCTGAAGGAAGCTGCCGGAACCGCGGTGCCTCTTGTGACATTGCTAGCTCGTTCAGCCGCGGCAAAGAGTCCCGAATTTCTCTTGTCTGAGACACCTGGAAGTGGTGGTAGTGGGCGATGATCTGCGCTAATATTCCGCGTCACTGTAGGGGACGATATTTCAGACCCAGTGAGGGGGCTCGAAGGCTCCAGCTGGGCACCGAATGGGTCCGAGCTGCCTCCATTGTTGGAAAAGCGCCAGTCATCCGGTCCGACAACTGGAGTTTTATCCGTATCTTCGAGTGATGCGTCGAAGCTATCATCTAGCTCCAACGATCCAGATCTATTGTAACTCTCTTCCTCGTCATCCTCGGCGGAATCGTAGCTGTTCTCTCTGGAATTGGTTCCGACTGAGGATAGATCTGGAGTTACCATTTCGTACTCGTTGATTTGGGGTGCTGCATCAAAGGTAACGCTCTTCGCATGACGGTGTAGGCTGCGGCCTTCTGGAAGCTCGTGTTCGCCGCCCGAGTACTCTGGCGAGCTGATTTTGTCTTCATCATATGGAAATTTTGAGCCAAAGCGGGTAGTTGCAAGCGACGACTTCATTGGTGAAGTTTTATCTTTCGTGGGCGATTCTCGTACCACAGTTGATGTAAGTGGAAGCTTCGTCGGCGAGTATGGCGAAACAATATCTTTGCTCAGGGTTCGTCCATGCCCGAATGCACGTCCTCGCTCCTCTGAGCGCAAGCCATCTAATCCCTGGCCGCCATATGCGTTTCCTTGGATTTGCTTCGCAAGTGGTCGCTCAATATTTGGAATTGATGTTGGGTCATATTCCTGCTTCTGCTCACGAGCAAACATGTTGCTGTTCTTGACACGCGAGGCACGCTGGAGTCTCTCAATAGAAGATCGCCTCGTTGGCGATGGCGACATTTCCCGCTTTCCAAATATGCCATTCTCCGAGTTGAACCGATTACTGGGCGTCGCTGGATCACGACCTTGCCAGAACAATCGCGGCGACGAGTTTCCTTCGGACGCATTGAAGGGGGAAGATTGGAATGGGGACGAATCCATATTTATAGCCATTTTCTGTTCCATATTGTCAGTATGTGGAAGTGTGCTGGAATGTGCATGTTGGGATTTCTTACCTTTGGAGAGCCTTGGTTGTAGCTTGGGGAGTTTTGCCTCCTCTCAGTAGGTGCCAATTCAGTTAAAGCGCGAGGAATTGAGCTCCCCATCTTGACAGGAGATGTGTTTGATGTGCTCTTTTGAATCCTGAGCGGATGTACCTGCGTAATATTGTCAACAGCTGTAAGCGTGGTAGACTCAATGTTTACATACTGGTTGCGATGTCATTGTTGCTTCATTCAATCTCGAGCTAGAGGCCACGAGGGTATATTTGTATTGTTTCAACCAAGAAATGCTTTGGGGTTGTTGTATGCAGGAGTCTGCAGCATGCGAAGAGTGAGGACAACAAGGTGAAGACGGCGAGATGGTGAGTAGACTGACTAAGACCTCGAGTATGTCTTGGAGTTGTTTGAGACAAAAAGACCGTATTGTTTTCAGAGTAGTAAACCACAGGAAATGAAAGATTGGTCCGGTATATCAAATGTTCCTCATACACCGACTGTGGATGCGAAGGTGAGTTTATCGTGTGCTTTCGATTCTGCGAGGTGAGGTTGTATTGTAGGCGACCCAGGGTGTGGTTGGCTTGTTTGCCATCAACAACTGGTTGCCTCAGCAACCTATTGGTGTCACAGACAGCCTCGCGAACCTATAGTGTTTCATAATTTATTGAGAGCAATTTATGTTTCCGGCGAGTTTGTGCGTAACTCTGGATACGGAGAGAAAAGCTCCAAATTAAATATACAGTAGTCCAATGAGGTGGTATCAAGCCCTCTGTTTGGAGTTTTATAGTGAGATTGACGCTATATTCGCCTCTTTACAACATCAAACGAACAAACAGTGCGCTGAAGCGGAAGCTATTATTTATAGTCCTATGCTCAGCTATGGGAATATTAGCCTCAAATACTAGAATACCTTGTACTACAAATGAAGTGTCCTGATTTTGCCCAAGGCCTTAAGTCCTAAGCAATCGTGCTACACCATATCGTATCAAAACATTGCGATGTTGTCAAGCAATTATTTATATCACTGGCCAAACCTAGACCTGGATATGCCTTTGGCGCTTGCGAGAGCTGCCGCTTGGGGTACTCTGCGGTTTGTCGCGGGTCTCGTTCTTGAGCTTCTCGTCCAAGACGCGGGCTATTACAATCATCAGTATGAGAAACTAAATTTATTAAGAAACAATGCTTGGTAAAACTTACTCAGCACATCGAAACCAAACTGAGGGAATTCCAAACACATCTTCCTGAATTCATCTTCCGCTTCAGCGCGCAGGACATGGGATCTATGCGCCCAGAACGAGGCAACGGGCCTACGGATTGTGGTATCGTCTTCGGCGGTATTTGCGTAAACGTAGCGAGCGTATTGAATCTCGCCCTTTGCGTTGGAATTGACGCAGTGAACTGTGTTATATGTCAGATAAATCGCGTAAGAATATAGTGATAAGTGCTAGCTTACTCTTTGAAAGTGCGAGTGCCTTCAGTGCGTCAACGCCAAACTTGCCCGCCAGGGTATAGACCCTTGCGTGCTTTAGGAGTTGCTCGCCCGACTCATCCAATTCTGGCATCGTGGAATCTTTGACTAATCCGCGCTGCCCAGTGACTCTCTGAGGGAAGTATTCGCCAGTATAAAGGTACTCCAGGAAGCAGCCGACTGCATCGAGGTTCTCCTCTGACAGGTCGATTGACCTTCTCTAGCACAGTTGTGAGTGAGTGGTTCGAGTTAGCTGGAAAAAGTGTTATAACATACCGGTGTATCAGCATCGAATTGAGCGCAAGCGTCTTCAAAGAAGGGGCTTTGCACCAACAGCGCTTGATGAGCACTGAGGATGATTTCGGAGTCACCTTGTCCAACAATGAGCTCTACAATGGGGCTTTTCAAATGGTCCACATATGTGATTCGTGCCGGGACTGGTGCCTCTTCTTCTTCCGCAATTTCCTGGTCTTTTTCTACGTCGTCGTTCTTGTCTCCTACATCCGTGGTTGTTGCGACCTCCACTACCTCGTCTCCGCCCATCTCGACATCTGCACTCCCGCCATTCTCAGTCAAAGTATTGTCGCCGGTAATCTCGATGTCCGACATTATGCACTGTCCTTCGGAACAGAGGAAACTCTTGTTGTGATTGAATGAGGGGGTTGTTTGCCGCAGCGAGCTCAGTGGCCTGGGTTAAGAGCGGATAGGTCTTAAGTGCGTTATTCGACTAGTTCTTGGATTCGTTCAGGGTCTAAATGGTCAATCGGAAGCCAAGGAGATTCGGAAGGGTTACATACATGGAATTATATGGGCTTGTTTGCTCATGGTGACGATAGTTCTCAACTGTGAGCTCTCCATGCAATCTCCCAGCCACTGTTTTTGATTGGTCGTGCAACCTGAAGCGCAAGGCTGCGGCACAATCAAGGTACCCTGCAGGGGGGACTCGCTCCGTAATCTCCACAATCTTGCCTAGCCTACAAGCCTGACAGATTTTCAGGTACGAGATTAGTGTATACCTATACACTAATCTCCGTACGTACTGTAAGTTAGCTTCATCACTAGAAAAGATCACTAGTGGCAATGATTAAATTGAACAGATTAGTAATGGGTAATAATTTTTCATTTTTTAATCAATATAGCATAGCAATCCGTTGTTTGCGTTTATCATCCTCTGGGGCCTTGGCCGTTCTTGGGCGGTCTCGACAGAAATATTAGAAACCTCTGGGCTACCTGTGGAGCCGCGGCTCCTTTCTCGTTTTCTGACAGATCTCTCTTCGTCAGGCCTGATGAACCTGTGAATAGTGCGATGGTCTAAAATCCTTTCCTCCGAGTCATTTCGCCCTTCCTTATCCGTCTTTGGCCACTGATATCCATAAAGCTTGCTGTGACGCTCGCACCTTGGGCACGACGAGCGGGTTAAATAAGCGTCTAGTTGCACGAAATACTCATCACAAATCTTGCACGAAATCCAGGCCGAAGCGGGCTGAGAAAGTAGCAGGGGCGTCAAGACATAATCGCCTGGCTTCCTAATTTCTGGTGCATGGTCAACGTCTGTGACAACAGGTGCCCGCTTCTTAACATATTTCCTCTTTTTGGTCGTGCTTGCGAGTGTCTTCGTTAACAGCTTCGTTGACGGGCGTTTTAACTTCCGCGAAGATTTTGGTTCCAAAGCGTCCGAGTCCGTGGTGCCCAGTGTTGTTGTAATCGATGCCACAGCGGCCCCAATTTCGCCAGCAAATTCAGCCATTGTTATCGCTGCATCTGAGACCAGGTTGTCTGCTTCCACGCCGGTAGGGCTAGATTGCTCACGGACATCTTTGCGAAGGCGTGAGTGGCTCCTTTTGCGCATTGGCCGAACTATAATCGTATCTTCATCCACCGACGTTGTATCCGTCAGGTTGCTATCATGGGAGGGCAGCATCTGTGCTGAATCATGCCTTGATTCAAAAATCGAACTAGCCCTAGAGCTTTCGGGTGTGGAGTAGAGACCGTCTAAATCCCTAGCAGGAATGCTTTCCTTTTTGATGATTCCTTCAGTGCGTTGCCTTTTCCGTGCCGTGTGTTGTTCGGCCATCAACGCTTCATCGCGCCATTCTCGTTTCTTGTTAGACTCCATAAGTTGTTGACTGGGCGAAAGTTCTGGTGATGTCGGTTCTTTAGCGATTTTACTCGATCTCTTCGGTGTTCCCTTGAGAACACGAGGCCTGAGATCAGGAGTTGCCGACGGAGTCCGGGAGGAGTCCACAAAGTCGGATCTCCTTCGACGTAGTGAATAGCTACCAATGACTACCGTAGGCTGCTCAATAGAGGGCTTTGTGGCAGGGGTGCTTGAACCATCGTCGTCTTCCAACCCCCATCCGTTTTCCAGGTTGTCTTCGCAAGTCTTGCAGAGGCACTCACAGTTATCCTCACCAAAATAATTGTCTCCGTATGTAACGGTAATCTCATCTCCTACCTCAATATCCCTTACAGCGATGATTTCCATCCCAGCGGCTCCGGTTCTCATAAGCTCGGCATTCGCACCGCAGTCGTGATTAGCAAAACGTGCTGGACCCAAGAATAGCGATGCAGATTTGTTGCGGCTTGAAACAACGATGCTGAAGTCGCGCCTCCGCTGGTTGATATCGGCTTCCTCTTCTTTAGTCATTATGACTTGGACTCCGCACAGATATTTCACTGTCTCGCCCTTTTTAATCAACCTCCGGGCCGTCACCGAAGCCTCATGGGTCACCACAGTGTATCGGTTGGTGCTTGTGATTTCAAATGGGCAGTCCGGTAAATATATGTTGACATATCTCCGCATGTGCTTTCGGAAGTCGTCCCTTTCTTTTCCGGGAGGTAAACTTTCCAGAAACTTTCGCAATCCTGGGAGTTGAAGGAGCTGCGCCTCTGCTTTCTCCGCGTCCTTGCCAATTATGACCATCTTTTGCAAAATAGGGGTAATATCTTCCTCTCGAACACCCCGTGAGGCATGGTATAAATTGCGATTCTTGCGAATAGTCGTCCAGTAGTATACCTTATTCACAACTGTTAGCGAATCACATCTTGGACTGGGTGGTAGCTTACATGGTCAACTAAAGCGTCCGTGAGGATATCGTCGTAAGATGTCAATCGCGCAAGCGTTAGACGGTGTTTTTTCTCCGAGGGACATTTTGGCGGCATCGCAACACGTATGTGGTTTTTGGTTCATGCGACAGCCCTTCCCGAATTGAATGGCCTCAATTCGAATCCGGGAGTAACACGGCTGAGAGTGCGTCAACAGGCTCGAACAAAGCAATCCAAGTTTATCAGGTCGTGAAGAATCGCAAGAAATAGTCCAGAGTAGTGTGTAGATTGGTCTTTGTATTCGTGTGTGACTGAGACTCGAGTCTAATAACGGTGTCCTGGCGCGCGTCGCCGCACATATCCTTTCGCATTCCCCGTTCTCACCCCAGTGTAGAGTCCCTTGCCTTGGTACTTACCTCCCTGCACGTCCCTTCGCTGTCGTACAGTACTCTAGCACCAGACTGGACGGGTGGACTGGCGTGTAATTTACTACTACAGTAGTATTTGCGCCTCAATCATCAGCCACACTACAGCCTTGGCCTGGGCTGCGAGCCTACAACATCAGGCATTGAAGCACTAGCCGCATTCACGAAACCGAGCCAAATCTTTATGTCGCTGCGAATAGAGCATAACCAGATGTTGCGACAGCAAACCTCTGAATCGAGATGATCCAATTAAAGGTGAATATCTCTTTAACCTGCTGTGTCCAGTGTTTATGGCGACTAATTTTAATCGCAGACGATGCTTAATTGCATCGACAATTCCGGCGCCGCCGTCGTCGAATGTGTCAAGGTCCTCCGCATGAAGAGACATGCAAAGATTGGTATGGCGACCCTATGATCCTGCAGGGGCACATGGAGCTGACGTTTTTCAGGCGATCGCATTATCGTTGTCGTTCAAAAGCAGCGCAATTTCGGTCCGGAGTCGGGCCCAGGCAGTGGCAGCGTATCGACATCTGCCGCCAACAAGGTTCGCCGTGGAGATATGAGACACGCCGTTGTTGTGCGCACAAAGAAGAAGCTGCAGAGGCCGGATGGGAGTGTAGTGAAGTTCGATGACAATGCCTGCGTTCTGATCAGCAAGACTGGGGATCCCATTGGGACCAGATTGAACGGTTAGCCCCCCCTCCAATCCAACCCCACAAAGGCATCCACTGACTTCCTTCCCAGGTATTGTCGGCACTGAATTGAAGAAGATGAAGTGGTCGAAGATCTTATCACTAGCACCAATGCATCTATGAACAAATTGGGGTTATATCAAAATGTACTCATACTGTATAAAGAGGTAGACGGGTCACGGCGTTACACATGCGATAATCATTAGAACCTCTCGAGAGGTCAACAACTATTGTTCTCAAATCATTTCATTACGGCCCCTCAATAACTCAAGTGCATGAACGAAACTCCAGTTATGCAATCTTCCCTAACGCCTGTGACATGTTTTCCGCCCAAATCCCCAACTCCAATTGTAAAAACGCTCCGGGTAGATTATTACTGGAAGATGTGACCGCACCCACAGCAGACATAGAAGAGTTTCTATATTGCCATCGTCAGTGTGGATCTAAAAAATAAGGAAGTCAACAATACCATTCCTGTTTCAGCCGAACGTTGTTGCGACTGGAAAAATACAGCATCCTCGGCCTTGCACTTAGGGCAGGCCTTGTTTGATCGGGGAAGCTGAAGAACAGTAATGTTAGCGCTTATCCTTTCAATAGAACAGAACATTTCGTAGCAAGGCCAAGCTATCCATTGAGAAGGGAGCACGAACAGTTGGGTCCGATCCAACATCCTGTGTGACACCAGCCGTCTCGCCCACAGCGTTGTTCAATACGTTTCGGAAAACACAGGATGAAATAGCCGGTTCGCTGTACTGGCACGTGCGGCAGGCGAACTGTAGCTGACGTGTGTCGTTGTCTTCCTTTGGGTACAACATATTCGAGCTGTAGCATAGGTTAGCATTATATGGAATTAGAGATACATAACTGCATGCCATTCACTGCAGAAACGGAACGTAATCTGCTCCATATTCTTCCTTGGCTCCTCGCCATGGCTAGGTGAAGGTGAAGACATGGTTGCTTGTTTTTGGTAGGTTTGGGGGGGCGATAAAAGCGGTTCAGGATATCGCTCGGAGCTTTAAGAAGTGTTCGGCGGCGGCAAATGTATCCAGAGCTAAAGGGTTGGTCGCACTGGTCTGGGGTATCTGAAATAGTGCTGTCCCTTATAATCGCCGCCGGTTTGTGAGCTTCAAGTAAAATCTTTTGAATGCTTGAACGCTTGAACGCTTCAAGATCGCCAGCCAAACATATCCGCGCGCTGACAAGGCGCAAACTTAAGCGGAACAATACTCTTCCGTTCCATGCCCTTCGCGCGCTAAAGTCGTTAGTCATCCAACATGGGGTTGCACAGTGCACGGGCTTCTTCTTAGCCCCATCCCCCGCAAAAGTGCGATGCGATAACCCAAAACAATAACAGTAAGACCAGGATACTTCCGCCAAAATTTACAAAACTCAGGTCTCGATATTCTCCGAGTACTATCATATCCTGTTTCAGGTGCCACGAACGCAAGTACAGCCCCTTCAAACTTTAGATTTTAGGTTGTTTACGTCAGCCTTCCCCGCTATTTCTTGTATCACGTTCCAATTGAATCAACACCAGCTCTACAAAACCTCACGATGGTCAGTAACGAAGCTTGATTGAAGCTAGCATACTCTATTATAGCACTCCCTATATTGATAGCTAACCCCGAACCAGAATGACGCAGGTCTTCCAGCGGGGTGGGAAGTAAGGCACTCGACCTCCAAGAACCTGCCATACTACTTCAACGCCTCGCAGCAGGTATCACGATGGGAGCCACCGCAGGGAACCGATACCGACAAATTGAAGAACTATATGGCTAGGAATCACAGCGCATCGGAGATCAAGCCAGAGCCTTCTGCTGCCAACGGAAACGAGGGCAAGATTCGTGCGGCGCATCTACTGGTGAAGCACAAGGATAGCAGGCGACCAAGCAGTTGGCGCGAGGTACGGTATTATCATGGAGCGCCCTTAGCACTAGCTGACAGAGTAATTGTTAGGCCGATATTACTCGCACAAAGGAGGAGGCAATGACCATCATTCTGGCTCATGAGCAGAGAATCAGAAGCGGACAGACCACTCTGGGAAACCTTTCTGTGAGCGAGTCCGACTGCAGCAGTGCACGCAAGATGGGAGATCTGGGCTATTTCGGCAAGGGCGACATGCAGAAGGAGTTTGAGGATGCTGCATTCAACCTGAAGCCTGGTGAGATCAGTCACGTTGTCGAGACCGCGTCAGGATTGCATTTGATTGAGAGGTATGAGAAATAGTCCCCACTGTGATATAAGTGGTGCAAGCTAATATCTGCCTGTACAGGATCGAGTAAATACTGCAGTTACCTATGGTATTTTGCCAGTAGCTGGGAGCAGTTAATAGCATTGTAGTCTTCGGATCTGGAGGTGATGATGCTGGATATTTGGAGAAGAGGGGTGTCATTTTTAGTTGTGGCGATCGTAATGAACAATAAGTGGTCTGCCCATGCTTGTGACGCTTGGATTCATTCTCTCTCATACATCTCGAAGACATACTTAATGCCATTCTCTTCCTGTTCTCCCGAGGCAACATCCTCGCCGACCCAAGCGTCCAGTTCCTCCTTGCCCTTCTCCGTCCATTGGCCATCGTCTCCAGGCAGTGATATTGGGAAGAACGTGTCACAGTCGAAATCGGAGAGGATCTTTGTTACCAGAATCCTCTTGGTCGCCTGCTCTTGTATCGCCATGCGATAGATTTCAGCCCCACCAATCACAAATACCTTGCCAATGTCGCTGCTAGTCTCGAGCGCTTGCATAGCATTAGATAATGATGCAACTCGTAAAGGCTCCGCATCAGTATCGATCTCCGCAAGCGGTTTTGGAGTTGTATGTGAGCGACTGAGCACGATATTCACTCGCCCCTTCAACGGCCTAAACTTGAGGGGGATGCTGTCCCAGGTCTTGCGACCCATTAGTACTGCGTTCCTCACCGGCCTGGGGGACTAAGGCATATGGGTTAGCAGTCTCCAAATAGTTTTGGAGAGGCGTGAGGCTACTTCTGGATTTGGGGTAGCAGCCAATGGGGTACGCTTCGTGACACGTGCAAAATATGCCATCTCCTTCCTGAGGCCGGTCCAGGGAAGCTCGCCGGCGCAACCGATACCCATGTTTCGGGCAGTGGCAGCCACTATGATGGTCAATTCTTTGGGAACCATGGTCTGAGAAGTCATCGTTGCCAATAGAGGGATGTGCTTGAACGCGAACGGAACGCGAACGCGAACGCGAACGCGGTACGTATCACCATATGCTTATTGCCATTCGTCACCGCCGAGGAGGGACTATCATTCCACACGTGATCAGATGACCAGATACTGTTTTTTATCGTGCCTCGGCATTTCCATTTCAAGACGGATTGAGGGTGGAGGGTGGCAGAAATGACTTCCGATATCGCCGTGCCTCAAACTATTTCATACGAAATGCAAAGCTCAAGCCGGCTTCGTCCGACCGCAGTGGATGTGCAAAGCAAAACCTTTCAAATAGACACTATCCATATTGCGGGAATGCGGGGATTAGATAGGCTTACAGAAAGGACAATGGGGGATGGCTGTTGAGTACGCTCGCTACCTACTCCGTAACACGCCGCGGAACATTATTGCTTGCAGATTCTAGGAGGACACACAAACGTCATCGGGACCTTTCGACCGAGGATAACGGGGAATTTTCGCTTTTAGTGGGTACCGCACACACAAGGCTCGCGAGGCTGAGCGTCGAAATGCCGAAGCCAGCCAGCCGACCATCCATGAAATCCAAGCTGTTTCAATTAATCTCCATAGCCGCGGTGCAACTTGGGGTTATGGAGGAGAAGATCCCTCCACCTCCACCTTACTCTCTTTGATCTAGTTTTGGGTACTAAAGTAGGCTCGAACTGGTATGGAGAGGAGTCCCCAAGTACGCCTGACTGTACTCCGTACTCTGAGAATATTACCCCAATACTCCTCATCTTTTGACTTTCTTGCTCATTCCCAACTCCCACCCCCCCCCAACCCCCCCCGAATATATTTTTGCTCTCTTCGCTGAGAAACCGGCGCTGTATATACTACTTTGTACTTCTAACAGGGTCGTTGCTGTAGCTGTTTCCAGAGCATCTCATCCAAAGCAACTACGCTCGTCACCGGTACCGAGTTTACAGGAAATTCTTGCTACGAAGTTAGTCTTGTGACGCAGAGAGTCATCAGCCGATATGCCTCCAAAGACCAACGGTCGTGATGGGAAGCCCCCGCCCTCCGCAGCGACGAACTTGATCGGTGAGTCCCAATCGCAGTTCAAATCTATTGCGCCAATGGCTTCTAACTTTCCATAGCTGGCGGTGGTGCAGGAATGATGGAGGCGCTTATCTGCCATCCTCTCGGTATGTTCACCTCGGCGACTTTCAATGGGCCAGGTTTCTGATACTGTCATCTAGATACTATCAAAGTTCGCATGCAACTTTCTCGTCGCGCGCGTGCCCCAGGTGTAAGTGGAGATAGGCAGCCCAGACCTGGCAGCATTCTAACAAACCATATAGGTGAAGTCAAGAGGATTCATTGCCACGGGATCAGAAATCATCAAGCGCGAGACCCCCCTCGGTCTCTACAAAGGTCTTGGCGCAGTGGTAACTGGCATTATGCCCAAGATGGCCATTCGATTCACGTCGTTTGAGGCATACAAGGCCATGCTCGCAAACAAGGAGACTGGTGTCGTCAGCACAAAAGCAACCTTCTTTGGTATGATTCTGGCATTCCGAGTGTAGCCGCGCAAAATCGGTTGCAACTCTAAAAGTTGTTCAACGCTGACGATTCAATTCTAGCTGGCCTCGCTGCCGGTGTTACAGAGGCTGTCGCAGTTGTAACGCCGATGGAGGTCATCAAGATCCGTCTCCAAGCACAGAACCACTCCATGGCCGACCCCCTCGATGTCCCCAAATACCGCAATGCCGCACACGCATTGTACACTGTGGTTAAAGAGGAGGGTTTTGGAGCGTTATACCGTGGAATTTCGCTTACAGCTCTGAGGCAAGGTATGAGTCGCAATACTTGATTTCCCCATTCACGCCCCTCCAAAACCTCAAGCACGTGATAGCTACCCCAAGTTATCACTTTCACATGTCAAATGCCTCAACCCCACCACCCTCAGATTGCGCCACCACTCAGATACTAATCGATCACCAGGAACCAACCAGGCTGTTAACTTCACTGCCTACACCGAGTTCAAATCTGCCCTCCAAAGATGGCAACCAGCCTACGCCGACTCCCAGCTCCCCTCCTACCAAACAACCCTCATTGGTCTCGTCTCTGGTGCCATGGGCCCCCTCTCCAACGCCCCCATCGACACCATTAAGACGCGCCTCCAGAAGACTCCCGCCCAGGCCGGCCAGAGCGCATGGAGCAGAATAACATACATTGCAGCAGACATGTTCAAGACGGAGGGCGTGCACGCCTTTTACAAGGGCATCACGCCGCGTGTGATGCGTGTCGCTCCCGGCCAGGCCGTTACCTTCACAGTGTACGAGTTCCTGAAGGAGAAGCTCGAGAACAGGACGACGATCGCGGAGCTTGTGGGCGGTAAGTACGAGGAGTAAGTGTTCTGTATTTTACCATGATGGACGGATCATGTTGGGCATTGTTGGAGGCAAGGCATTTTCATGCGAGTGGCTAAAAGCGTTATGGTGACACTCTGTATATAGACGCTGTGCGTAGATTATATGGTATCGAGTACTTATATCCATTTTATATCAAGTTTGCTTGGTACAATCTTCCGGGACCTGGTGATCATCCCAATGCCTGCGTCATAGTGCATTCCCTGGTCGTGCTTCTGATGCCCGAAAAGGGACAAGTAGGAACGTGCAGATAGACCCTAGCGCTGGTATGAGTGTTTAGAGCAATACTGGAGAGGAAATAGAGCCCCTTGATCGCTCAGGGTTATAATAGTCCAGCATATTACGGTCTTTTAATGATCTATGTGCTCAGAAATCGGTCCAAAGACAACCTTTACCAGCTCAATTGCTTGTATTAACCCACAGTTCCCCAGGATCATTCCTCTAACTTTTAGGCACCACAACCAGAGCGTGGCCACTATGTAATATTAAGATAATACCAATAGGCATCTCAAAGTGAAGTTCTTCGGTATATATATCTACGGCAACTTTTAACTCCTGGTCACTGCTCAGGTCGACAATTTTTGTGTCATGGTTAACATACAAACTGTCCACCAATTTAAGCATATGTCCCAAGAAACATCCACCCGTGGCCATTTCCCCTATGTACCTCACCTCCTCCCCGGCCTCTTCGGTCTATCAAAAGCCTTCTTGGTCTCCACCTTCGGCTTAAATTCCTCCTCGATACTCTCCGGGCTAAGCTCATCTGGGTCGCTTGCCTCGATCTTCTTCACGACCTTCAAAGCCGCCCCCTTCTCTGCGACAGCGATGACGCCCTGCCGCGAACTGGCGTAGAGCATTCGCTCCTTGATCTTGCTGGCACCTGGGCAAGTGTATATGAAGATTATAGAGGTTGAGGGAGGGCCATTGGGAACATCATGGCTGTGGTTGAAGAAGGAGAAGCGGGGCTCGGAGGAAGAGATGACCGTAGATAGTTCTGGCAATGTCGCGGTGGATGTGGACGCCAGCTCGATCGTTTCGAACGCGATATTGATTTTCTAAGAGGTGTATTAGCTACTTCCATTATAATGTATATGCAAAGCAGGGGTGGGCAGTAGACTGCTCGTACCAATTGGACAAGGTTATCTCCACCCGCAGAGTCCCCCAACTTCTTCAGGGCGCCCAGGGCGTCGTCAGATATTGGCATTGCAAAGTGGTCACTAATGTGGCTCCTCTTGACGTTTGATCCTCTGCCCTCCTCCGACTCTGCCCTCTTAACTGCGCCCAGCGCCAGCTCCTCTTCCGTCAAGGGCGCTTCTAACTCAACATGCTTATCGTGCTTCCTGAACCCATCTGCCGTCAACTCCGCCTTCGTCGTCGCGAAAATGGTTTCCCTAAATCTTTCGATTCCTAGTTCGCGAATTAAAGTGAGGCGCGTGGATGCGAAGAGCATCTTCTGTCTCACGGGCGCGGCATCGGGGACGTAAGTCACGGCGATGAAGCTGTCGCTCGCATCGGGGTAGCGGCGTAATATTATGTATGCCGCTCCTTTGTCCGTGACGTGGGGGGTAAGAAGATCCAGATCACTAAAGAAGTCGGAAGTGGAGGGCTCGATGGCGGATCCAGGGATGAGCTTCTCCTTGTCGATTTTGACCAGGAGCCCGCGCTGGTTGGGAGATGCCACGAGGTTGTTGAAGGCTGCTACGAGCTCGGCGGAGGCTAGAGCACCTTGGTATCAGCAGGAAGCTCTCCCCGACGCACCCCGAATTGAATCAGGTTACCTGCAATTCCTGACTGCATTGTGAATTGTCTCTTTCTCTGATTGATTTACGTGGCAGCTACTGTCACTTCAGGATATATTGATGACGCTCTGGTGTTTCGAGGTCGGCGCTAGATGGAGGGGTAATACGCGAGGTGACAGGGTTCAGTGCTACCTGAGGAGATGGAGCAGATTTCTATCGCGTAGATATCAACATATCAACATGCGCTTCGAAGCACCCATGAACGTCCGACTCATATAAACATTGTCAACGCTTAAGGAAGGAGCGACTGCGCGGTTATTAGGCGCACGGAAGTTGTAGCTGTGCATCTCATATGTAGCAATTGTGGCCATGGCCACTTCGCAGCGAACCACGGACGCCTTGTTGGGTGAGTGGAAAGTTCACTTCGTTCCCCATCTACCTTGCCATTCTATCCCCTGTACTCCCAGTCTGAACAACTCTGTCTCTGCGGGTACAAACCGTCAAAAGTACAACTTCCTGCCATCTGAGTATCCTTTCCATCAAGTTCTTTCATAAATACAAAAAGTAAATCATGGAAGGGAGACCAAGCATGTCAAACGATCGACGCAGTCCCAGTCGCTCAGCGTCGGCTGACCAAACTGCAAATGAAGCCTCTCAAGCTGTCATTGCTAACGATGGTGATGTCACTCACGTGGCACCCCTTTCTCCTCCAGCGCCTCTTCCTTCATCTCTCAATACACGCACGGGACCGAGTACTAACGAGCTTATGGAACGTGAGCAAGGAATCGTCGATGCCATGCTTCTCAGATTCAAGAACATCATTGAGCTCGCTACAACGAACAAGGGAGATGTGACTTCGGAAGTTGCTGCTGCTCAAGCCTTCCAGACGAATGTGGAGACGCAGGCTTTGGTATGTCTATTGTTATTTGATTCAAGTTGAGAGTAAAAGGCTAATGACCACGCCAGATCCGCGCCGCTCAAGATCTCCTCTCACTCACGCGGGAGATGAAGGAGTTATGGCTTTTCGGGCCCTTGAGAGGACTGGGTGAAGGAGAGGAGGGTGGTTCGATTGACGACAATTCAAAGAGAGTCGTTGAGATGGTTGAAGCAATGATTCAAGAGCGCACAGGAAGGGAAATGTAGACACGATGATTTACGAGCGTACGAGAATAGAGGCACAGGGAGAGATGCAAATGATAACCCATTTCATATTGAATGCTAAGTCTGCTGCCCAATCGATCCGTGCTGTGATTCCGTCCCAAGTATAGCAAGAGATGAAAATGATAACACATTTCATATTTGATGGTAAGTTTGCTGCCCACCCCCGAACCAACCTTCCCAATGCCCGTCTAACTACCCAAAAATGACATGCAGTATTCGCAAGCCTGGCGTAGGTTATGATAGCTTGGAATAACGCTATAGTGCAACGGTAATAATGGTTCATTCCCAGTTTTCATGACATGCAACATGCCCCTCACATCGCATTCATCCATTCATCGTATCATATGTGCTTCGTGCATTCCCAACCATGAGGAAACTGGTTGGTGTGCATCAAGAATCTATCCTTCCCGTGAATAAAAAATGTTCTTTAATCGGATAAATGTACTCCTCTAGCGCATCGGTGAGCTTTGAGAGTTTAGAAGTCTGTGAATAAATGGCCATGTCTAAACACCAGTTAGCAATTAAATCTTGTGGTGAAGATAGGAACACCTACTCATCCGGTCCTCCGGCTCCGTATTGCTCGGTTTCCTCTGGGTACTTGTCAAACTGACTGGCATCACCAACACCAGCCTTGACAGGTGGGACATATGGTGCATCAATGTCCTTCTTTGCGAGCCTGTCCCATGTGACTTCGGCAAACCATGCATGTCTCTTCACATCCTCAGCACCGCCGTGCAAATTTCCCAGCCGTTTTGTCAGATCAGCGGTGATCAGCTGTTGCAGCAAGTCCTGGGCCGGTGGCTGGATGTACGGAGGATACTTCACTTTCCCCTTAAGAATATTCTCGTAGATCTTCATCGGAGAGCCACCGTCCCAGAATGGAGTATATCCACAAAGCATTTCGAAAATCAGGATCCCAAGAGACCACCTACACCACATTAGAGAAAGAAAGAAGAGTTAAAATGGAAACTAACCAGTCGACAGATTTGTTGTATCCTTTGCTGGAAACCACTTCTGGAGCCAAGTAGTCAGGTGTCCCACAAAGAGTCCACGTGATATCTGGTACTCTCTTCGCAAATCCAAAATCAGTGATCTTGAGATGTCCATGGCGATCCAGAAGTAAATTTTCGGGCTTCAAGTCTCGGTAAATGATGTCCTTTGAGTGCAAGTATTCCAGGGCGAGAGTAACTTCGGCAGCATAAAACTTAGCCACGGGGTTGGGAAACCTCTGTTTGGGAGTTAGTAGTTGTAGTGTAAAAGAAGAGCTCACTTGCCTGCGACTTTCTGAGGAGCGAAAACAGTTCACCACCTTCGACGAAGTCCATGACCATGTAGATATTCTTGGAGTCTTGGAATGTTCCCCACAGCGTTATCAAAAATGGATGCTTGACTTCCTGGAGCATCAGGCGCTCATCATTGGTATGCTCAACCTGCTTCATCTTGACCACCTGGGCCTTCTTCAATACTTTAACAGCATAATACCTTTGATTATGTTTTGATTGCACGAGATGAACACGCCCAAAACTTCCGGTACCAAGAGTTCGCCGGAGATCGAAATCCGTCAAGCTGTACTTGCCCTTGGTACTTCTGGCTTGCTGCTGCGCTACCGCTCCTGCTGGGGCAGCCTGGTTTGTCATTGTCTGGCCAGTGTTTTCATTTTGGTTGGGATGTATTAAGTTGTGGATGTGAGGTAGGTAATGCTTCTTCTCTTCCTGTGGCTGAGTTTGAGGTGAAGGCGCATACTGTTGGTAGTCCGTCCCTGGCGTCATCGGGACTCCGTTGGCGGTCGTCTGGTTCGCTTTAGTTGCAGTTACTGGGATTTCCTGGGGCTTCTGGCCTTGCGGTTCCTGCCCAGCTGTGCCAGTTTTGGTGAAGTTATGGCCTGCAGCGGGTGTTGTGGACTGCTCTACCGCGTCGTTCGCATTCGTAGCCGCACCGTCGGGTCCAGGCGCGTCCTTCGTCCGAATCTTTTTGAGGAAGCCGAGTGCCGGCATAGAGTAGTGAGATTTCCTGAGCAAGGCACGAAGTTGCCAATCTGGCGTTGAATTTGGGAGCAGATAATGGCCGTCAACAGTAGTTGTTTGCCGATCGCTGAGACCAATGTGTCGCAGACAGACGTTTACGCCAATACGTATGAAGCGGGTTTGGCCAGTTCAGTCCCAGTGTGGACTGCGCAGCCTGGAGTAATCAATTGGGTGAATTTGATCGCTATTGTTGGATATTGAATATCGAGGTTCAGCCAGTGTTAGGAATAAATTGGGTGATAATGATGCTGAACAGCAATGACGCTGTGGTGTCGTTTCGGGTCTGGATGCGAGCTCCGGGTAGCGTTTTCGATAGAGTAACAGCGGTGAAGAAAAGGAAAGGGTCGGGTCGTAGAAGAAGGATATCCAGGTCAATTCTGTATTGGATTGAGGCGGGAGAGAGAGGAGAGGAGGCTGTAGTGTTTTGAAGTCGTAGAAGCGTGGGGAGGGTAGAAGCGTAAGAGAGAGGAGGGATGTTGAAGTGGGGTGGTGAGGTGACGAGATGTGTGGGAGGTGGGAGGGTTTGGGTTGGCTCGTGCTGGTTGGCTGTATGTTTTGGTTTGGCTGTGTACAGAGAGTATTATGGCTTGCATGTACTTTACTCTATGGATTGTATGTAACTGGACATGTATGTGCATGTACTGGAGGAGATGTAAGAGGGTATAAAGCACTTGTCCTTACAGCACAATTCGGCTCTATTTCTAGAATCGTGCGGTTTGTCGCTCTACTTTACAGCTGTGGTGGACTGGCAATGACGGGCATCCGGAAGCAAGTGAAAATCGGCTGGCAGCAAGTCATTTACGACGTCTGATGTGAGCTGGGAATATTGAGCTTAAGCTGCCACTTCTGGCTCTTATCTGGCATGATTGGCTCTGACTGGCTCCGACTCGCCCAAAAGCGGAGTTTACGGTGCTATTATAACGGAGTCTATCATATCATGTTGGTGCATAGTGGAGAGATGGGACTACCCCAACCTATGGGATTGTTTATACCGGCCTATGATTGCCTATGATTGTTTATACCGGCCTATGATTGCCTATGATTGCCTATGATTGCCTATAAAAGCCCCATGATTGTCTGTGGTTGACTATGGGGTTGCCAATATGTTGCATCATGGACTTTGGAACCATACATCGTCATACAAAACAGAACATAAGGCGGCGTGAACCCCACAACGGCCACCCGTCATCGTGATCCGCACTTTCTCCATACCCACACCAGGCTTGCGAATGCTGCATGTCATTTTTGGGTAGTTACGACGGGTTAGTTCTCAATGGAGTATGGATGTGTTGGTGTTAGACGGGCATTGGTTCTCAATGCAGTATGGATGTGTTGGTGTTAGACGGGCATTAGTTCTCAATGGAGTATGGATGTGTTGGTGTTAGACGGGCATTAGCTTTCAATGGAGTATATTAAAGGGCATTGGCAGAATCAGCAGTAAAGGTCTCCTTTGTGGAAACCAAATTGGGCCAAACGAAACTACAGATAGTGGCTAGCTTATAGATCCCTTTACATGTACATCACACCCTCTCCTACGTTCCAGGGAGCTTCAGTTCAACCCTCTTCTGAACCATTTCCACCCTCATCTTCAGAGCCCAGTCCCACCGCTTCGTCCGCCTTGCTGGGTGCTTCCCCCCTGCCCAAAGCCAAAGCCTGTTTGGCAGCAGAGATGCCAGTGGACGTGACCCATAGGAAGTACTCTGAGCGATAGTGATCGATATGGTGGAAGAAGGTATGGAATCTGCAAGGGGTTAGTTTTTAAAATCGGAATAGGGATGGGATACATACTGATTTTCCTTCTCTTCTTCCCTGTATATTCTCTCGTAGATCTCCCGTTGTTTGAACTCATTGATCTCTGCCTCGTACTTCGTAAAATCAATCTTCTCCCGCTGAAGGTCGTCGATGGCTCTTTTGTTGTAGCTATCAAACACGGGCCTCTCCAAAAGGAGACCAAGCCCAGGCGCTTTTGGAATGCTGATCTTATGGTTCTGGTAACTTTCATTAATGCGCTCGATTGGAGTGCCGCATCGGACCACCAGTGCTACCATAGCCACCATCTTTCTGATTTGGTGCATCATGAAAGATTGCCCATGGACCTTGAGAGACAACCATTCCGTGTCATTAACATAAACGGGCTCAGGGTTTACAGTGAATGAACGGATGACTCGCTTTGCGGAATCTTCCTTGAAACTCTTCTGAATCGTATAGTTGTGGAAGTTTCGTGTTCCCAGATATGCGGACAGTGCTTCTTGCACTCTATCGCGGCGAGTCTCGGAAATTCGATACGCCTTCTTAGCTTTAATATAAGCCGCCTTGACTTCTTTAATGGCCGCCTCCAATGGAGTAAGAGGTTTAGGTATCTTCCCTGTCTTCTCGCCCGCTGCAGCAGTGGTAGTAGCGGGTAAGTCCTTCTTGTCATCCGTTGTCTTAGGGGACGTTATCGCATCCCCCGTAGAACCTGTAGATGTGCTCTCCTTAACCTGACCACCTTCGGATTCATCCTTTAATGCAGGAGTACCAGGTTTCCCCGAGGAGGTTTTCTCCTCCTCGGTATTCTCATCTGGATTCTCAACCACATCCTCCGTATGAATGGCTGCCATAACACTAGCTCGTAGCTCTGGGTCAAGTTTCTCGAGTATCGGCTTGATGTATTTCTCCTCGGTTTCGCCCCAGAAACCAGCGACATCTTCCTGGCGAGAGTTGTAAGGCTCCAGTTTTCCCTCTGCGGTAGCGGCATCAACCAGCTTCTTTGCCAGATAGCTCTGGGGATGAGGCGGCAAGAACGAATGCGTCGGGATGAGATATTCGTACCATCTAGAATCGCATGTCTGGTAGCAACTGAAAGATGCGTTGGTTCTCTCTATGCCCCAAACCCTGATCTGAGGAGGCAATGCAGCATTTATTTTCTCCACGATGCCTTCCTCATCGATGATCAGTTTCAGAGATATGACATTGCCGGCAGCATGGACACCTTTGTCCGTTCGCGCACAGCGGACCAGCGAAGATTTCTTAGGGTCATCAGCATTGGCCTTGGAAATGGCTCCTGCCGTCACAAAGGCGGAAAAGAGGTCTCCTTCAATGGTCTTCTCTGTCGTATTTATCTGCATGCCCTTGTATCCGGATCCTGCATAACCAATGAGCACAGCAACCTTCCGCTTTGGTCTGCGCTCCTCCGCTGCGATTTCTTCTTTCGAAAATGGTGATTCAGGGACAGCGCCCTCCCCGAACTCAGCGATTTTCCGTCTCTTTGATTCTTGCTCGTCCTCATTTCTCTTGCGCTTGTCAACTAGATTTCGGCTTATTTAGTTAGTCGGAAGTCGACGTAGGGCTTCTCAGAAACAAACCTCCATTCCCCCCTGCCCTTCTCTGCCTTCGGCTGGCGCGAACCATGGTTATTACCCCCGCGCCCTCTGCCTTTCCCAAATTCTCGCCCGCCGTTATTCCCGCGGTTCCTGTATTTGCCATGGCGGTCGCGGTCATCGACAGGCCTCGAATTGGTTGTGACTGGAGCATCGCCAGAGGGTTTGTTTTGATCCGCCATCTTGCCAAGTATTTGATGCTTATCATCGCCAATGTCTGGCGTTCTGAGTTTATTTTCAATCCAGTCCCAAAAATTAAACGCTAGGGGCGTCTAGGAGCCGCCGCTTGTGCATCAACGGCGCTTATATACTCCATCAGCCTTTCAGCCTTGCCGATAACCAAGTTCCTTCAAAGTCAGGTAGAAGGTTAAATTCCTAATCATCAAACACGGCTATACTTCAGTTCAGCTTTAACTAACAACGAGCTTTGACCTGCTTATTCTCTTCAAAGCAAATCTCATGCCCACAGCGCATGGCGCATCTGGCCATGCATGCGCACAAATACAACTACAATTGTTAATATAACCACCTTCGTGCCTCCACAGGTCATCCGGTGTTCACCTTTCCAGGCCCGTTGAAAATAAGGCTCTTCGATTTCAGCCCGGCATACCTATCAAGATAATAACTACTTTCAAGTTAAGAAACCAGCCATGGATCTCGCCCAGACACTCGTACGCTCTGTCATGAGATCCTTTTATGACACAAAGCATATTCTGGTCATTGATGCATTGATTATTCACTCAGCGTATGTCCCTTGGGGTGGTTTGTAAATCTGATTGTGGTGTTGACCAGGACAGCTTGCGAGATGACGATATGGCCTTTCTGATGGGTATGAACACCAAAGAGCTTCACAAGCTGTGCGGAAAGCTCAGGGAAGACAGGTTCTTGGCAGTGTATGTTTGAACAGGCCTTCCCAGAGATAATTTTCTGACACGATTCCTCAAACAGACATACCCGATCTGAGACGAAAGAGGGCCAACAGCGTCCCATAAACAGGACCTATTACTATATCGATTATCGCGCCACAGTCGATGCAATCAAGTGGCGGGTATATCGTATCGACAAAAATGTTCAAGGCAATACTATTACGAAGGAAGAGAGGAAGGAATACGTCTGTCCACGTTGCCAGTCTGAATGGACACAATTGGAGGTTTTGGACAAGATCGACTACAAGCTGGGTTTCTTGTGCCATAAGTGCAGTTACCCACTTGTTCCAAATGAGCACGGAGACAGTGGTGGCCATGAGCAATCTACAAGACTCAATGCTCAATTCAGGTTTATCACAGACCTACTTCCGAAAATTGATCAAGTGGTTATTCCGGATAGCACCTTCGAGGTCGCCTACGCAGCTGCACGACCAGTCATTCGAGATGCCTTGCTCAATCCTGCAAATGAAACAGTCCCTGTCGACTCGCTATCAAATAGGCCCACGGCAGTCAAAGGCCTCACAAATACCGGTCCAACAAGCATTGCAGTCACAGTTACAGCCTCTGAAGGGCCGACAGAGGCAGACAAGGCTGCTGAGCAAGCGCGCAGAGAAGCGTATTTGGCGCAAAATGTGCTTCCCGCTCATTTCACACACAGTACTGTGACTGGTGAACAGATTATCCCTACCTCACAATCGGCCATGAAGTCAGAGGTTCTGGAAGAAAGCAAGGAAAAGAAAGATATTATCACCACGCCGTCATTTTCGGGTGATGGAGCTGCGATTGATGACTACTTCGCACAACTTAAAGCCGAACAGGCTCGAGAAGCAGAAAAGGAGGCAGAAGATGAGTTCGAGACGGATGAGGACGAAGATGAGGATGAGGATCTGGGTTTCGAGGACATAGTGCCAGCTACCGGATCTGGAGTTGGCACACCCAGCAGCGCCGTTTCTGATTCCAAACCGCACGCTGGCGGTCTTGCCAGCGCGCTAAGGAAGTCCAAAGCGGGCACAGGCAGTCCCAGTGGAGGAACAAGCACAGGCGTGGGTAGCCCTGCGACAGGACCAGGAACTCCTGAAAGCGGGAGAGCATCGAAGAAAGTAAGGATCGAAGAGCCGACTGCGGCAGAGGAGGTTGAAAGTGAGGAGGATGTTGAATTTGAAGATGTTTGATCTGCCGGCGGGCGGATAGCGTAGAATCAACTAGGAGGGCTGGGACCATTAAAGAGGGGTCGAAAATCACATTGGGTGTGGGGGGGGTTGTACGCCGAACTGGGACGCTGAGATATTGCTTTTTGCGGTTGGAGACATACCAGATAGTTCACCCCATGTGCAGCCACAGCAATACGCTCAGCCCTACCCTTAGCACCCCAAACGGCGTAGCAAAAGGTAGTGGCATGCTGCGGAGGGAACAGTCTGGAAAGCTGGGTTGCCAAGCACCATATAATGACTCCAAATCCATCTGATACAAATTAGAACTTGAATTTGTCAAAGACGTATGACTAGCGGACCCCTACTCCAATCCAGTGATATGAATTTTTGAAATTGTTAATTGAAAAAAATCCCACAGGCCGAACAAATTTCTCCAGAGCCATTTTAATTTAATATTTAAATGCTTAGCGCTTCTGATTCTCGTCCATAGCTCCATCCGTGATGCATCCACGGCTGGCATCGCTGACCAACCTAGCATACTTCGCCAAAGTTCCCTTCTTGTACTTCAACGGGGGCGCAACCCAGGTTTTCCTTCTCTCAGCCAACTCCTTCTCCGATACGTTCAGATCCATCCTCTTCGTCTCCGCGTCAATGGTAATCTCATCCCCATCTCTTACTAGTCCGATTGGTCCACCTTCCTGGGCCTCAGGGACAACGTGGCCGATCAAGAAGCCGTGGGATCCGCCGCTGAAGCGTCCATCGGTGACCAGTGCACAGTCCTTGCCGAGGCCAGCTCCCATAATGGCGGAGCTGGGCTTCAGCATCTCTGGCATACCTGGTCCTCCCTTGGGACCCTCGTAACGGATGACAACAACGGTCTTCTCGCCCTTCTTGATCTCACCTCTCTCGAGCGCCTCAATGAAGAGACTCTCGGCATCGTATACCTTCGCCTTGCCAGTGAAGGTCAGGCCCTCCTTTCCAGTGATCTTGCCAACGGAGCCGCCAGGGGCGAGCGAACCACGCAGAATCTGGATGTGTCCGGTCTCCTTAATTGGGTTGGAAAGTGGGCGAATGATAGTCTGGTCGCTTGGGAATTCCGGGAAGGCCTCCAAGTTCTTGGCCAGCGTCTTTCCGGTAACAGTCATGCCAGAGCCGTCGATTAATCCCTCCTTCAGGAGGAGCTTGAGAAGCGACGGTGTGCCGCCAATGTTGTGAAGATCGGCCATGACGTACTTTCCGGAAGGCTTGAGGTCGGCCAAGAATGGAATGCGGTCAGAAACGGCTTGGAAGTCGTCAATGGTAAGCTTGATACCAACGGAGTCGGCAATAGCAATCAAATGCAGGACGGCGTTGGTAGAGCCACCGGTGATGATGACAACAATCATGGCGTTCTCGAAGGCCTGGCGAGTAAGAATGTCACTGGGACGAATGTCTTCTTGCAGGAGAGTCTTGATAGCACCACCCGCAGTCAGGCACTCAAGGTGCTTCGCCTTTGACTCAGCTGGGTTAGACGAAGAACCTGGCAGGGTCATACCCATGACCTCAATTGCGGTAGCCATCGTGTTAGCCGTGTACATACCACCACAAGCACCACCTCCTGGGCAGGCGTTGCGGATGATATCGTAACGGACTTCCTCAGTGATCTCGCCGGTGATAAACTGTCCGTATGCCTGGAACGCCGAGACGATATCGATATCAGCATTGCCTTGGGTCGCAGAGCAACCTGGCTTGATGGATCCTCCGTAAACCATCAACGAGGGGCGGTTGACACGGCCCATCGCCATCATTACACCAGGCATGTTCTTGTCACAGCCTGGAATTGAGATGTTTGCGTCATACCACTGTCCGCCCATCACAGTCTCAATGCTGTCTGCGATCAAATCTCTGGACTGCAAGCTGTAACGCATACCAGTAGTTCCCATGGAAATACCATCTGATACACCAATGGTGTTGAATTGGTATCCCACAAGTCCAGCTCTTTCAACACCTTCCTTAACTCTGTGGTTGAGGTCGAGGAGATGCATGTTGCAAGGGTTGCCAGAGTGCCACACAGACGAAATGCCAACCTGCGCCTTGTTTAACCTCTCCTCTGTCATGCCTGTGGCATACAGCATAGCCTGCGAGGCACCTTGCGACTTTGGCTGGGTGATTGTAGCCGAGGTCTTGTTAAGCTGTCGCTCCGAGTCCTTGGGGGTTGCATTGCGGAGAGGTTGTGCGGATGATAATGAACGACTGCAGTGATACAGTTAGCAGCTGCATCATTTCCAAGCAAATTATAGAGGTAATAGTACCTATAATTGGGAGCTCTGGGATAGTTGAGAACACGGGCGTTCGCCCGGACTCTCAATCGTGCGTGCATGACGGGGATTGACTTCAAAGGCTCGAAGCTTCTAGAAACCTTGCTTTCGTGTCAACAGAGTTGTGCCAAACTTTCGATTCCTCGTCGATAGCTAGGCTAAGCTTCAAAGTCAGCTACAGCGCAGTGCCACTTGTTAATTGTGAAGAGGTGCAAAAGTATACCTTCTAATATTTTAGAGCAACTCTCCGATTCCGGTGATCCGGAAGATCTTAACTCCGGATGTGTTTGATATCTCGCGATTATAATTGGTCAATCCACGCTTATGGGGAAATGTTGCACAGGCAGTTGTTCGAAGCTCAACTGAGCACAAAACCAGAATCACTGGACTAAGATCCAATCCAGTCCAGGTCTCAATTAAAGGTCTTCTGTTATCCGCCTAAAATGTTTATACAGCTGTATCTAAATTGCCAACCTTTCCGTTCCAGTATCGCCGAAGTTCCCTTGCCCCCCTTTGTCAGAACCATTCCTATCTGACAAACCCCACCTGTTCCCAAAACTCCTTCTAGTACTAACGGTAATGATTGCCCATAATTAAATATACAGGCGGACTCTCCTGTCAGTATCATAATAACTCTATGTCGTCCGCCTTTCCCAGCTCTTCTTCGTTTCGAAACCTAATGCCGCCATCGACACGAATAGCACTTTTCACCCACTCAATCTGTGCCACTCTGTCTACAGTCCATCGACTGCGCGCTCTTTTCAAAAGATTTTCGGTGATTTCCATTGCCATCTTTAGGCCAGCAGCTTCAAATTTCGCCTCATCTGCCTCATGGTCGCCATCTTCACCTTCCCACATGACCCATCTCCACTCTACCCTGGCAATCCGGTGGGAGGTTCTAGATCGCTGCTTGTGGCCCTCTGATAACCCAGGGTTGGGGTCGAAAGGAAGCCTCGACTCCAGAAGGGCGTAGAGAAGGACGCCCAGACTCCAGGCGTCCACAGCACGGCCATCATATGGCTGGCCCATGATCACCTCTGGAGCTGCATAATCATCGCTTCCGCATCTTGTCGAAAGCTTCTCATCATCTGTTACATATCTTGCCAAGCCAAGGTCCGTAACAGTTATGACAGAGTATGGGTATGTACTCCAGTTGGTAGGTTTTGTTAGCTCTGAGTGTGGGAGATTGACTAAGACATCTACCATTGTTAGGTGCGTAACAAAAGGCTTGTAATCAGTTTTCACTTACTCTCTAGCTTGATATCGCGATGAACGATGTGGCGGTCATGCAAATATTGTATAGCAGAAACGATCTCCGCGAATATCCGTTGGAGAAGAGATGGAAGAAGGATTGAAGGGCGCTGGCTTGCAACTTCGAATAAGTCTCCGCCGGGGCAGTAACCTAGCACAAGGATCGCTCTGGACTCCTCTATTCTCCATGCTTGTAGCTCTACCAATGACGGGTGGTGTATCGATTTCATTAGCTCTAGCTCTCGCTTCAGAGAAATTTCCACTCTTTCTTCAGATGCGCCTCCTTTAGGGCCATGCTCACATATCTTGACAGCTACCAGTTTCTTGGTGTCCGCCTCAGTTAAGGCGGCTTCTGTGGCTCCATTATGTGGAAGAGATATATCATCTTCATCTACCGTATTACTGTCTTTTTCCAACTGACTTGTTGCTAGGACAACTTTGCTGAAAGTGCCTTCTCCCAATAGCTTCAATGCCCTCCATCTTCGTTTCTTATTGTCGGCGATGGTGACCGCATCAAAATAAATATGTTTAGACCTCTTTTTATAATCCTTTACTATTGGCTTTGTTGCGCTGGAAACAGCCGAATCACTCTCGCTGCTCTCCCCTCCAGTTCGACTGGATGGTGGAGTTGGCGGTCGTGGTACTGGCGCAATGCCTCTCTGCAGCGCAAGATTCGGCTCCCTGCGCATATGGGAATCTACGGGTGGAGCATGATCGGGGAGCATGTCTTTAGGATAAGTACCTGAAACAGACTGCTGGCGTTTCTTAGGCGTTTGTGGATCAGGCATGTATTCGCTCAGGCTTCTATTCCTTGACTGAGTCGAGTTTTGCATCTCTCTTTTATAGCTAGACGGCTCGAAGGCAACGTCCTCCGAGTTTAGGAGAAGTCCGCGGTATGCGCGACGCTTAGACTCGTTCGCAATAGCTGACGGGATCAGTTCTCCGTTTGGCGTCACGAGAGCCGTATCCCCAGTCAGCGGGGCTGCCCTTGATTCATTGTATTCGGACGTAGATATGCGCCGCCTCCATGGGCCAGGAGAGTCATTTGACATAATTGGGGACGGAAGGGGCGTAAGGTCCGGCATTGCATTAAGTTGAGGAGACGATAAGGCCGAGTTTGGTGCGGAGCCAGTATACGAGTTTGACCCGAAACTGCTCGCAAGAAGCTGCTTTATACTCGGTGTCCTCGCAATAGGGATGGACTTTGAGGCACGCCGTTCTTGGTTGGTATCTGACGCTTCGAGCTCCGGTGGCCGTGAAGTAAAGCTTCTTTGTACTCGTAGCCTGGATGCGCTGACAGGGCTTGAATCAGGACTCGAAGCGCCCGAATATCTCTGCTGCGCAGTATTCAGGGAAGACAGGGCCGTTCGTAATTGCGACGGGGCGCATACGGTCGGTGGGGGTGGTGAGGGTGCTATCGTCGTAGAAGTGAAGACAGGGTCCTCTGGTGTGCGTCGCGGCAGCGCCTTGACGTCGTGTGTATCATTTTGGGTAATTAGAGGCTCGTCATGACCTATTAAATGCTGGGCTGCAAAATCCTTCTCCGAGTCGTTGTCTTCTTCGCTGTGAGGGGTTGGGATGTGGTGGTTCGGGTTCGTCATTGTTGCGCCACGATGCGGACGGCTCTAATTGATGAGCTGCTTCGCTCTCACGAGAGAAATAGGAATGGGGCCAATTTCGGGATGCTGATGGCAAGCAACATTGTTTTTGGGCGCGTATAGATTTGGGGGGAGGTGAATGGGTGTGTAACGTTGGTGGTGAAGATCCGTAAGGAGGAAATTGCTTTTGACTTTGACCTCGTTCTCTTGGGGTCAGATGGGATGATGAGCCTGCGTAACGTCCCTGCGTAACGTCCTTCCAAGGTGACTGGCTGGTTGCAAGTCGCTGTCACAAAATGATCCAGAAGCCTACGGGCGATAGGACTAGGATAAACTAGGTTAACGGGTTTTTAGCAACAGGGCCAAGGTGCTGGGCCGTGTGAGCGCAGATGGGATAGAGAGAATCCTCGCGCCAGAGGTCCGATTACAATCAAGGAATAAACAACGGGCGCGGCTACAACCGAACCTACATGTTGTAGCTGGTGTAGCCAGCCAGCTTGACGTCCAGTTGGAAATGCGCATCAAGCACGATTGGGAATTGGGAATGGATTGGGAATGGATTGGGAATGGATTGGGAAAGTCCGAGGCGGCGCTGGTGGAATATGTGCGAGTACTGTAACCTTGCATTTCCTTGGACGACAGAAACCCCTCATTCAGCCAAGCCATCACAGTTCCACTCACCACCCCCCGCAGACAAACTCATATATAGTATGGATCAATTAGGGGGCATAGTGCGAACAAAAAATGATATCTAGAATCGCCATTTTTGGGGGTACTGCTGTCTCATCTGATCTTCTTAGACCAGGCTCCTACAAATGCTGCCTTATCCTTGACCGTGAGTCCTACCCTCTTGACTCTGCCGAGTCTCGCCAATGCCTCACCCACCTGGTCCAAAACCTTCTGTTCCTCAGCATTAACCCCCCTCTTTCTCGTTCCCGAGCTCATATCAGTAGAATCCTCTTCCGGAAGATCAAGGAAGTTAATGAGGTATTTGTCCTTCTTCTCGGAAGATACATCTCCTGGCTTGGCTGTGTTGTAAACGGCTTCCGCGATACGGACTCGGATACAGTGCGTCTGCTGGGATAGAAGGTTCCATAAGAATGACCAGTAGCGGCCTGGGACTGGTGTAGTAATGTCTGGGGGCGAATACCGCAGGTTGATAGGGAAGATTTTTGTGGTTGACGGAACGTTCAGAAGGCTGGGGCTCAGTGGCAGAATGCCTTTCCCGTTCGTCGTGGTACACTCGGGAAACACCACAATCACGCTGTCCGGGTTTTCGGATACAAGCGTCCCAAGGTCGACAAGCTTTACACCTGCAGGTGGAGCTTCTTCTGGTCCAGAGAGTGCACGAAGCATCGCGCCCAAGAGTGATATGGGGTGCACTTGCCTTGTGCCGGGGTAAGAGACTGTAAAAACCGGGTCGAAGATTGCTGCTAGGTATATGGCATCCACAGGAGATGTGAACGACGAAGCTATTATGCTCGATGGGGCCGGAAGCCTTTGTTTCTCGCGTGCGAGAGAGCCTTTCTTGACTCCGTCAATTTGCAAATCGATCCACCAAATTCCCGGTGCTCCGAGTATAACCCATAGCATGGCCTTTCTGATAAATGCCCCAAGCGGAAGCCATTGTAAAAAGAAAAAATAGGCCACGGCGATCGCAAGAAACAGTGGAAGCTTCACGGCGAAGAGAAATATATTGACAGGGAGATAAAGAGTGGAGGTTGGGGAGGTGACGGGGAAGAAAGGCGCGATGCCAGATCCTACGAAATCAATTTAGCTATGACCTATCACTGATGCATCAGATGTGGTGTCAATATTCACCTCGATCCCGAAACTGAGAATACTTCTCCATCTCACCGTAACGTAATCGTCGAGATGAGAAAGCGAATATAAATAAACGGGAGGGCAGACGTGGATGCGACTGCTACTCTGTCACAGTAAGAGATAACTTATCTCGTCGCAGCTAGCGACAGGTCGCCTTCTCTATACGACAAAAGCTCGTTCACTCCAGACTTTCTCATCAAGATGTGGATTTGATATTACTGATTTTGTGTAGAGTCGCTGGCTTGTGATCGCGTCGAATATCGCATACATGTGGTCGCATGCATTAATGCCTGATATGTAAGGTTGTATTGTGCAAGGCCACTGTGGAGTTTTGTTTACTCTCCATATTTGGGACCCGAGACAACTTGTATCAAGACCAAAGAGCAACGACAATCACAACTTCGCCAACCAAACTCAATCCGCTCGAAATATTCCGGGGCATGGTTGCTCAAAGTCAATAGACATTTCTTATTGTTGTGCGCCATGGACGAAGTAGAAAGCACCGTAAGTTCCACAGCAACCAACCAACCTTTGCGACGGGTTCTCGGTACTCGTACATCGAAACCATAACTAAGTCATTTCACAATCAGGTTATGAAGAAATCCCAGATTCGCCCACCAAGCCGCATACCATCACCTGGCAAGGGCTTGTCGGAAATAACTGAGTCGCAAAACAATTCTCGCCTTCGGCCTCCCGGAACAGTGCCGCAAAGCTTGAAATCCACATACTGTATGATCTTGAGTCCGATTAAAACATGCCCAGCTAACACAGCCATCAACAGCAACAGCCTCCTTACAGATGGTCAGCAACGATGAGCCGAAACGGAAGACACTTGTGGAGCGCGCTGGAGAGCCTGCGAGACCAAATACAAGCTTTGCGCCAGGACGCTCAGTAGTCAAGGGGACCTCTCTCACCAGTGCGCGCAGCACGTCTATGGCCTCATCAACATCCCGGCCGCAGTCTTCCTCGTCAAGAAATACTTCGGCCAGCAGTTTTGCAAGTAGCGTCGGGCCAGGAGTTCGTCCTCCGTCGTCATATGGGGGCCGGCCACAGACTTCAACGTCTAGGGCCAGGTCGAATACAGCCTCATCTAAGCGCCCCGCGACAGAAATGGACGACCACCTTGATCCTGGAGGCGGCCCAGCAACCGAAAAACGACAGGGTAGGACTCACTATTCACATATGTCCTCACATCCTTCCCACTCTGGGTATCATCAGTTACAGTACCACAAGACGCGGCGCGCCCATCCCCAATTTGAGCCCCACGGTCCTTCGTCAAGAGAAGTCTCTATCAACACTGCTCTAAGTAGATTACGAATCGATGACCACGAGGCAGAAAGTTTGCTGCCAGATAGTACCAACCCATTCAATTATTTTCCAGGATTGTCAATGGGTCCGCCTGGTACTGTACCGCGGGAGTTACGGAACGACTGCAATAACAATTCTCTGGTTGGACTTTCCGAGAAGAGCTCCAGTCTCCCCAAAACTCCTTCTCAGATTCCAATTCCATCCAAAGCAGAAGTGTCAAGTGCTGCTCCAGCTACCCCGTCAAGGGCTCCAATACCTTCCCTCGTGAAAACCCCCTTTTTATCCAAAGATTCTAACATAACCGGCTTTACAGGATGGGATGTTCATGGTCGCATTGCTGACATGGAAGCGATGTACTTCGAATTGAAAGACACTATGGCAGATACCAACGTGGAGCGAAAGAGCCTCGAGGAGACCGTTAGGTACTACAAGACCAAACGTAAGTGGCAGCCTGTGAATCAAGAGAGTGTTTAACGTTGACTTTTGCTATAGTACTACAGCTGGAGTCGAAGAATTCTGTACTTGAAGCCAAGAAAACAGCGTTGGAATCCCAAAACATGACCTACGACTCGAAAATAGCTTCTCAGCAGGCGGAATTGGATGCTTCAAGGCAGCGCGCTAATACTATGATGACAGCTGCAGATGATGACCGACGATCTCATCGCATCGAACTGGATGATGCCATTCACAACCATCGTCGGGAGTTGGATCAACTACGCCGAGATATGACAGAAGAGATTGACCGCCTGAAGAAGACTCACCAGAGAAATACTGATGTCGAATTTGAAAGATTGGATAAATCCCATCGAGAAGAAATCCGAGAACTAGAGCGCCGAAATGCTTTGCACCTTGAAGAAGAAGAACGTCGCCGTGTACAAGACCTCCATGAAGTAAAGAAGCAAATAACTTTTGAACAACAAAATCTCGATCTGGCAGTTGGTAATAAAGACCGCGAAATCCAAAGCATGAGGGAACAAATTGAGCAGATGAAGGCGGAGCTTGATCAAGAACAATCCTCCAAAGCAAACCTGCAGAAGTCACTGAATGACTCCTCTTCATCTGTTGTGAACCTGGAGGGAACTGTGCGTTCATTACGTGACAGAATCCAGTTTCTCGAATCTGGGAGCCAAGCACAATCTGATCGATTTGAGCTCATGGAGAAGCAGTTGCAGGACGCATTAGAGCAGGCTCAAGAATCGAAATCTAGGCTCACCAAAGAAGAGACTCTCCGTCGCATTCTTTTCAACCAGGTCCAAGAGCTTAAAGGTAACATTCGAGTCATATGCCGAGTACGACCGACAAATCCATCGGAGGAGGTAGCGAAGATTATATATCCAGATATTGACAAAGAGTCCAAAGAATTGGAACTCCAAGGGCCAGAAGAGAAGAGCAGCCTTGGGACAATAACTCGGAAGACCAACGCGTTCACGTTTGATCGCACCTTTGGACCATCTACTACGAATGAGGAGGTCTTTGGTGAAATATCACAACTGGTGCAGAGCGCATTGGATGGTTACAATGTTTGCATCTTCTGTTATGGCCAAACAGGAGCTGGGAAGACACACACAATGTCTTCAGCGGATGGCATGATTCCACGAGCGACGCACATGATATACGAAAAAGCCACTGATTTACAAGACAAGGGATGGACGTATTCAATGGAAGGTTCATTTGTGGAAGTCTACAACGAAGAAATACATGATCTTTTGGGCAACCCCAGAGAATTCGACAAAGCCAAGCACGAAATTCGCCATGACGAAAAGAAAAAGCAGACAACTGTCACCAACCTTAAATCCGTTGAGCTCGATTCGCCAGATGCTGTGGAATCTATCCTAAAGCGAGCTGATGCCAACCGGAGCGTGGCGGCTACGAAATCTAACGAGCGTTCTTCTCGGTCGCATTCTGTCTTTACATTGAAGCTTATTGGTCGCAACAGCACAACTGGGGAGACTTCGGAAGGGACACTAAATCTTGTCGACCTGGCTGGATCAGAGAGACTTAAGCAGTCGGGTGCGGAGGGCGATCGAATGAAGGAGACGCAGAACATTAACAAAAGTTTAAGCTGTCTGGGAGATGTAATCGGTGCTTTGGGCCAGGGCAAGGAAGGAGGTCATATCCCTTATCGGAACTCGAAGGTGAGTTATTCCATTGCATTTCTTGTTCCAGAACTAACGCGTACACAGTTGACCTATCTTCTCCAATACTCCCTCGGAGGCAACTCCAAGACGCTCATGTTTGTCATGATCAGCCCTCTTGAGGCTCATATAAAAGAGACATTGACGAGCTTGAAGTTCGCCACGAAGGTGCACAACACTCACATCGGGACAGCCAAAAAGACTACCAGAGTGAAGGAGAGAGATGCATGATATGACAGTGCGTAATGTTAGAAGCAACCTGTAGATTGGCTGGTAGCCACTGCTACCTGCGATTGTAAGCATTGGGCATGATGGGATTACGGACTATTTGGGGCTGGAGTTGAGGCGTATCGGTATTGGACTTATTGTGGCGATTTATGTATCCCGCTCCTGGTCTACTATAGGTGATTTCTGAATGGAAAAGAAGTATTACAGTTGCATTTAGTACAAGCATAACCCCGTAATGATTTCAAATACACTCATTACGAGTCATATAACATTAAACAGAGCACCGAGAAGTATATTATTTTTCCAATTTACAGTGCCCATAAACTATCAATATCAACATATCCCACCCCCACACGTTTCCGTATGAACGGTTTGCCTCGAGATTAAAGGGGCCGCTGACATAAGCGATGTTGATTGTACTCGTACTCGCTCACCCTCATAATCCATCACGTGCTATAGAACCTCCCAGGTCACTTCATCTGATATAAGCATGCCAGTCAAGCCTCCCTCTGTGCTCTTGTCCGAGTGTCTTCAGGACAGAAACTTAACTGTCAAGTCGTCTGATCTACTGAGGGATGTAGACTCTGGAGACGACAAGTCGTTCAAGACTTGGATTATGGAGACCGTAGATTCCAAGACCATGCTCACCAAAGAGGAGTTGAAATTGTATGCCTGCCAATACCAAGAGAGATCCGGATGCTAATTACTGCGCAGATATAACTCGCTTGAGGAAATCGGCGAGGCCAGGTTACTTGAGTCCTCGATGGATTTGGGACACGTGCAAGCCTTTGAAGACCTTGATATACAAAATGCGACAAGGCAACTCCAGAGTTCCACGGCTGCCATCGATAAGCAGAATGAAATTCTAAAAATTCAGCAAGCTGCTGTGTCAACGCTGGCCGCGACAGAATCACAGCAACGGCAGTGCAGGTCTATAGCAAATTCCGTGCAGCACAGGTTGTGGAAAGAGGCGCTAGACCAAGTCAATGCCGAAGTAAGTTGAACTTAAAGACCCAAGATATATCGCATTCTCATACGAACTAGGTTGAAGAAGCAGCCAGTGCGCTGTCAGAACATGTCAGCAGCAATAAGGCACAATGTGCCGCGGCGGACGCAGCGTTAATCCAGCAGTCAACTAACCTATTACGATCCGACGACAAAATCATTTCTAGCCTTCAGAAGCTATCGAGGACATTGCAGTATGGGATGTTGCCAGAAAACGATACGTTCGAACAGATACGGAAGCTTTGTACCAGGTAATTCCCAAACATCGTTAACGGCTTGCTGTCGCTGATGTCTATGTAGTCTCATAAAGTATACAGTGGAGGGTGTCCGGCTACGCCTTGACCGGGCCTATATTGAGGCCTTGGGTGCGCATCAAGTGGAGAAAAAGTACACTCCTCAAAACGAACGGGAGGTTATGGAACTTCAAGCCGAGCTGGACTCCCTGTACTCCGAGATTCTTCCCGTCGCGCAGATGTCTGCAGAACAGCGATACCTTGACTGTGCGGTTCGAGCTATTGCCTCTCAAGACAAACAAGGACTTGAGAAGTCAAAAACGATTATAGAATATGTCCGTTTAGGCACCGTTATAATTATTAAGTACTATGCTGACGCTATTTTAGATTTCCGAATCCACCACCTTTCTCATCGATCGCGCTGAGGTCTTCAAGCGTCACGTGGAAGCTTACCAGAGTCACATTGCAACATTAAACGCTGTCGTGAAACTCCTCAGCTCAGAGATAAATTCCGTGAACGCCTCTCGGCCCAAAAAACCCGAACAGCCCCGAAGTTCGCTCCAGTCCAGAAACCACAAGCCTGCCCCACCCAGTCTATCCCGAGCTGCTCACCGTCGCCGTTCATCCGCCTCCTCATTCGACGAAAGCGCCCCCCCAGACCAACAAATCCTCCGAATAATGGGAATCCCACCACTCGAGGAGTTGTGTCGCGACCGTGCCCCAGAGGCTGTCCTCCACGAAACCCTCAGCGACAAAATCCAGAAGCTAAAGGCACATGAACAGGGCTTGCAGGCGTCGGCTGAATCCGCCATTGGAGATCACCTACAGGATGCATTTGCAACGCTGCAATTGCTCAGCGATACGATACTAAGTGAGACCAAGTATCAGGAAATCCGGCTCCTCGATGAGGAAGTCCAGGAAGCAATATCAGGGCTAGACCAGGAATTGGCCGATTTATCAAGTCACCTGCAAACTCTCGATTTTGAGAGGCTAAAGGAGCGTAATTCTCATAAGGAAGCCTTTATCGAAAGATGGGGCCATTAGTCTATCGGTCACCTCATTGCAGCCGGTGGCACCATTAAGTGGTGAGTATTTCCAATTCTGAAGTCTATGATTTTCCCAGGTCTAATGATACAGTCAATCCGCACATCTATAGGTTCCACCGTCATATACAACACGATCCCTTCTGCCTCTTAGTCCAAATCCCTTCAATCCGCCCATCTATAGGTTCCATCATCATATACAACACGGTGCCTTCTGCCCCTTGGCCCAGAGCCCTCACTCACTGTGAACCGCCTCTTCAACCTCTCTTTCTGTGCCTCCTCCGCCTCAAGTCTTTCCCTGAGCAGCCTCTCCCGCGATTCAGCTCTTTCTCGATCGGCTATTGCCTCAGCAATCACCCGTTCACCTCGAATGCTCAAGCCCAGATCATCAATGACATTGGTCCACCTCCAGCTTTGATCAACGACAGGCCTCAGGATCGATCGCATTCTGGGTGCTGGACTCGGGAAGCGCACGGGTCGTGCATTGATTTCCGCATCTTGAAGCATCAGGAACTCTTCGCGGCGCCGACGTTCTCGCTCTTCCTTGATTTCAGCCACCAATTTTGCCTCCCTTTGGTCCCGCAGCTCGCGCAGCTCTTGTCTATCACGCTCTTCCTGGCGCTGCCGGCGTCGGCGTTCATCTTTTCGGCGCTGGGAGGGAGAACGTTGCCGACTGGGGGAGGTGTACCGGAATTCTATCGGCGAACGTGGACGACGTGATGTCTCATGGATGATTGGCCTCTGACGGCCCCGGGATGGCGACACTTCGACTATGTAAGCCGCGTCGTTGCTCTCATACCGTGGCGGCATGGGCGGCATGGAGACTCTCGGGTCGTAGTATATTGGCGAGGCGGTCGGTGGCGGTGTGCGAGGTCGGGTCGGCGAAGGCGGTGCGTTGATGATGACCACCCGCTCCCTTGACTTGGATCTGGAGCTCCTCCTTCTCCTTCTCGTTGTGCTAGGAAACAAGGCCCCCATGAGCAGGTTGGACAGGGGCCTCCTCTTCTGTCTGGCTCTGGGCGTCGTTACCTCCTCGATGACTTCGACCATGGGCGCGGACGCAGGCGAGCGGGGCGTGGTCCTGATCTGGGAGATGATGAACTCGGAGGTCGGCTCGCCGTATTGTATAAATCGGATGGGTTTCTCCTTCACGACGTGCAGGTCACATGGATCTTCTGGATATCCGTGCTGGCACAGCTTCACCCAGTGGAATTCCACTTCTGCCCGGTCTGGATATGAATCAACAAAGATCTCCGTGACACACATCCTGGAACTGTGAAGTGTACGTGTGTTTGTGTTGCTGGTGAAATGTGCTGCAGATTTGCTGCCTTTTGTGGGATGTGATATCGTGTTTCAGACACCAAATCCCAGTGATCGCGCTCCTGTCCTTAAAATTGCTTCGAGAAACATGGAGACAACATGGGTGGGAGAAAGGTGACGAGTTTCTGAATTTGTAGGCTGGATTCTGAGTAGGTCTGTAGGCGTGTAAGAGGTGATAATGTGGAGAATCTGTGTATAAGTAGTCCGTGATACTGCAGCGAGGATGGATGCGAGTGGTCCGGGGCGCTTAATATATATATACTGGAGGGCTGTAGGAGGAAGTGTGGAGAGTCGTAGGAGGTGTGGCTGGTGCCTTTGAAGGATGAGTGGCTGTGATAACGGGCAGGAACGAGACAAAGACCTGGCGTCTATGGCGGTTGGGGGGTCTGCTGTGCCACTTGTTGGGGCGGTCAAGCCACTTCTAGCCCTTGTCAATAAGCGCAACATCGAGGCACAGGGGAAATTGAAAGATGGTGCCCTTGTACAGCTGAAGGTGAAGCGTAGGATTTTAGGCCACTGCCGGGACTACTGCACGGCTCCAGCGACAGCGACAGCGGCACGGCTACAGCGACAGCGGCACGGCTACAGCGACAGCGACAGCGACACCACAGGGAAGTTGTCTGTTGGTCAGTGGCTCACGCGATGCGGTACGCGGGTGTCCATGCGGGCATGATCGATGACGGAGACGGACTGGAGGTAGTGGCGGGTGAGCATCGAGGACCAGGGAGTGGTGGGAGCAGTGGCGGTAGTGGGGGCAGCGGGAGTGGTGGGGGGAGCAGGGAGTGGTGGGGGGAGCAGGGAGTGGTGGGGGGAGCAAAAGGGTCGTCTGGACGGCAGCGTAGGGGAAGAACGGGGGTGGGGACAGGGATCAGGGGCCTTACTAACACGCCTAGCACGGCCAGGCATCCTGCAAGACTTTTGCCACAACCCACAACGCACGTCAAAGGCCCATCAGATATGGGGATCAGATACGGAGTATGGGGGGATCAGATATGGGGGGACATGGGGATGCAGAATGGCGGGTGCTCAGCCTCAGGTACGGCGTCTTGTTAGGCGGTAAGGCGGCCATGCCTTCCCGTCACCAAGTGTGCCATGCAGATTTACCGGGTAAGCTCACCAAGTGTGCCATGCAGATTTACCGGGTAAAGTCACCAAGTGTGCCATGCAGATTTACCGGGTAAGGTCACCAAGTGTGCCATGCAGATTTACCGTGTAAGCTCACCGAGTGCTACTCGAGTAGGTGCAACTTGTTTCTTTGTCTCGTCGACTATTTCAATTCACCCCATATCGCCAGATCACGTGGACATCCCACTTCCAGTACAGCAGGCAGCCGAGAGTACGTAAAAAGTTCGCGTGTACCTGCTCACATACGACAAATATATGTATATGCCGCCTATAACCGCCCCCCTCACAAGTACCCCGCACCACATCATGCGGAGCAAGCTTAGTCCCATTTAATCACCTGCTCCCGCTTAAAGACCCCTCTATGTTCTTCTCTTCTATCGCCTCCCTTCTCTTCCTTTTCTTCATTCTCTTCCTTTTCTTCCTTCCTTCTCTTCCTTTTCTTCCTTTTCTTCCTTCTCTTCCTTCTCTTCCTTCTCTTCCCCCTCTTCCCCCTCCCCCATCCCCATTGGATTCTCACTGTCTCACCTGCGCTTCGTGGGCTCTTCAACATCCGGGATATCTCAAGTCTTTGCTATAATAACCACAGATAATCATGTATACCGCGTCATTCGCCTTCTTTGAGGCGCTATGGGAGGCCGGCGTCACCCATTGCTTCGTCAACTTAGGCTCCGACCATCCAAGTATCATTGAGGCCATGGTTAAGGGTCAGAATGAGAAAAAGGGCGAGTTCCCAAGGATTATCACTTGCCCAAACGAGGTACGAAAGAACTCACTACAGAAGCCGTCCTTAACCCAACACTCCTCCTAACACACACAGATGGTAGCGCTATCGATGGCAGACGGATTTGCCCGGCTGACCGGGAAGCCACAATGTGTCATCGTACACGTCGATGTGGGAACACAAGGCCTCGGTGCTGCGGTCCACAACGCCAGCTGTGGACGGGCACCCGTCCTCATATTTGCCGGCCTTTCACCATTTACTATCGAGGGCGAGATGCGCGGATCCCGAACCGAATACATCCATTGGATCCAAGATGTGCCGGATCAAAAACAAATTGTATCCCAATACTGCCGCTACTCTGCCGAGATCAAGACAGGAAAGAACATCAAGCAGATGGTCAACAGAGCTCTGCAGTTTGCGTGCAGCGACCCAGCGGGGCCAGTGTATCTCTGCGGCGCGAGAGAGGTCATGGAGGAAGATCTCACGCCGTATTCTCTGGAACAAGCACACTGGAATCCAGTTGAGCCCGCAGCTCTATCAGAAAACGCCGTCAAGACCATCTCCGATGCCCTCGCCGAAGCGAAGAACCCCCTTCTTATTACCGGATACAGTGGCCGAAACCAGAAGTCTGTTCCAGAGTTGGTTAAGTTGGCCGATACGGTTAAAGGACTGAGAGTTCTTGACACGGGCGGCAGCGATATGTGTTTCCCTTTTGATCATCGTGCATCACTGGGACTGAGATACGGAAGTGAGGAGAACATAACAACAGCAGATGTCATCGTTGTCATCGATTGCGATGTCCCATGGGTAAACACCCTGTGCAAGCCATCGAAGACGGCCAAGATATATCACATTGATGTGGATCCACTTAAGCAGCAGATCCCCGTATTTTACTTGGCTGCCGCATCCAGATATAGGGCGGATAGCTACACATCGATCAGCCAACTTACGAAGTATTTATCTTCGAATTATGCTACTAAATTTGCCGAGGATACGTTTAACAGCAAATGGGAGGCCTTGGCTCAATCTCACCAAGCGCGCCTAACAAATATTGCCCAGCTTGCATTGCCAAAAGATGACGGCTCGTTTGGCACTGGTTATCTATGCCGCACCCTTCGAAAGCTCGTTCCCGAGGATACAATTTTCGCAATCGAAGCAGTGACAAACACTGGATTTGTAGCTGATAATATCCAAGCAACCCTTCCTGGCTCTTGGATCAACTGTGGGGGTGGCGGACTCGGTTGGTCTGGAGGCGGTGCACTGGGTATCAAATTGGCCTCGGAATATGAGAATGGCGCAGGAAAAGGGAAGTTCGTAGTCCAGATCGTTGGGGATGGTACATTCCTGTTTAGTGTTCCCGGAAGTGTGTACTGGATCTGTCAAAGATATAAAATCCCCATCCTCACAATTGTCCTGAACAACGATGGTACGTTTCTCTCTCTGATGCGGAGTGCGACCCAGCTGACAATATATAGGATGGCATGCTCCCAAGAGATCTCTCCTGTTGGTTCATCCCGATGGGCTTGGCTCAAAGGCTACGAATGAGGAGTTGAACATCTCATTCGCCCCTACACCCGACTATGCAGGAATCGCCAAAGCAGCAGCCGGGGGTAAGCTATTCGCTGAGAAGGTAGCTAAGAGTTCTGATCTTGAGGGGGTTCTTCAAAGGGCTGTCGACGCTGTCAAGGGTGGCACAACTGCCGTCATTGACGCTGTTGTGGCTCCGGGTTGTTAGATATATTTTTATGTCTTGCACAGCTCGCAGTATGCCAGAGGATCAAAGCGTGATAGATCTTTCCGTCCAATGAATGTTACCTCCATTCACGTGTAGCATATAAGTCACGGGGAGGCTTCTGGCTCAGACCCGATTGAAATGTTTATGATTAACTTAAAATTAGTAAATAATTCGTGCAGTAGTCGCTTTACGCCATCGATAACGCCCATAAATACAGGGTACTCCACGAAGGCGTGGCAAATAACACAGGACGTTTCGTTAGTTTGCCTTTTAATATTAATCTGTCAGGGGACGTGGTTGATTTTCTGCATGACACGTGCTCCTGGATCTCGCCTTGGGCCGGACAGGTCTCGTGCAAAGATTGGAAGGGCAGTCTAGAGTCCCGTACTAACACCAACCACTTACCTTACCATAGTATAAATCAATACGCTCTCCCATCTCCCACCTCGGCGCCATCTCTTCAACACGCCGCCTTTTGGTCGTGGCATTATCGCCTTGTCCTCAACCTCGATTAGCTTTTGTATCTTCGAAAATGTGCCAGTGGCTGCAAGGGGACCCATCGATAGAGCCCCCCTGGCCGCAACTCTCACCAACAAACAAAGGCATATCTTAGGCAATGATATAGCGAATACAACGAGCCAGAGACATCGGAGATTGTCTAAAGGGCTTCTGGGAATTAAAGCGCGACTAGTTCCACATACCACCGCAGGGAAGCATCCTGTTGTACAACGATGGCTTCTCCCAACGAGACCTCGGCGGATGAATACTGCCCGCCACCGCCACCAAATCCAGCAGCGGACGTTGGTCTCAGCGCTCAGTCGACCACCCCGGATCCCGAACTGGCAACTCCATCTGTCTCAAGCATCGACGTCTTTAAACTACCTCCCATTTCAGCACTGAAGCTCGTCTGCGCCGGAATCGAGGCGCTCGTCCGCATCACAGGCGACATACCCCCGACTCCGCCCACGAGTGGGCGCCAGACTCCAAATATGCGCGGTATGCAAGAGGAGAAGGAGAATATCGTACGAAGCCACTCTTTGACCGATCTGAGCAAGCACCGGCGCCCATCGATACCTTTCGCATTTACCGCAGCTAATGACGAGTACGATGGGATAAATCTCAGGAAGAGGCCGATTGCGAGCTTGGAGAATGAGCAAAAGGAGCCGTACATTATAATTGGGGCTAACGCGGAACCCCTCAACCTCCAACATAACGCCATAACGCGCAAGTTTTACTCGAAAAGGCCTCCTCCAATCTCGATTGAGGACTATCTCATGCGGATACACAAGTTTTGTCCCATGTCTACTGGCGTATATTTGGCAACGAGCGTATATATTCATCGGTTAGCCGTGGAAGGGCGTGCTATACCGGTTACGAGACGAAATTGCCATCGCCTGCTCCTCGCTGGGTTGAGGGTTGCCATGAAGGCTTTGGAGGACCTGTCTTACCCCCATCGAATATTTTCCAAGGTTGGGGGAGTCAGCGAGAATGAGCTCGCCCGACTAGAGATCAGCTTTTGCTTTCTCTCTAATTTCGAGTTGCGAACGACGAAAGAGATGTTGTTGGACCATGCTCTGACGCTGAAGCAGATCAGTTCTAGCCAGGGTGCCTTTGGTGGCGGGCATGGCTTTGATTTAAGGCTGCCGCTAGGAAAGAGGAGTGTACTTTCCAAAGAAGGTGTGCAGGAGGTTACTGCGGACGCCTGAGTTCATTATTATGGATATGTTTTAAGGGGGATTGGAACGTCTTTTACGATGTAACGTTGTCATGCTGGATGCCTGGCACGATGTACCTGCATTTTATATCTGTGGTAGATATACGTTACCTATGGGGATTTACTTCACTGATGTTTTTTTGTAACACTCATGGCTGCGGGATGGAACTGAGAAGATTACTTTCACAACACACACTATGGAATTTACTGTAGAATACATGCAAACGAACAGAATAATAATCAGCTACTTTTTTTCTATTTAAAATAATTTGGCGCGGTACCACCAGCCGCCTTTATCGGGGCCCTCTGGATTCCTACCCCACTAAGAAAGGTCCAAAACCGACATGACGTAGCGTCCCAGTATTGCCTCAGGCGCAAGTAACATATGGTTGGATGGCGATACTGGCTCGCCCAACAATTCTGTGGGCTTGAGCATTTGCTGTAATTAGCAAGGTTTGACTCTACTTATATACCATCGATATCTATACCACAGCAACGATAGAAGTCTTGTTAAGGCGTTGCATTGATAATGCCTTTGAGCGACATTTTCTTCCTCGCTTTCGCATTGGTGCCGCTCGCATACGCCGATGTCAGGTTCGACGTGCCAGGCCCTGGAGGGGTGGTTCCTGGGGGAACAGACTTCAAGGTTTCTTGGTCGGAGTCGGATACTGCGCCGTCTATAGATGATTTGGTCGAGTATTCTATAGCGCTCTACTCTGGTTCGAATGAAGCGCCTGTAAGTATCATCCGGTTCAAATGTCTTTTCAGCAATTGTTACTAACACGACGCAGACGCAACTATTGACCCTCGTCCCATCGGGAACCTTCGCCGAAATCCCCAATTCAGCATCTATAAATATCCCAGTTACGGCTGGTGAGCCTATTACCAATGCCTAGTAAATACTCCAGAGTATTGAGTCAAATTGATTGGACAATGGTTAACTGAGCGTATAGCTTCCTGGGAATCCAATCGACGACAAAATCCGGAGAGTTCATCACAAACTACTCAAGTAGATTCACTGTCAACTCAATGACTGGTAAATTCCCCGATACCATCAAGGCTGCCCTGTCCACCGTTTCAGGCACAACAGGGCCAATAACAGAAACCTCCAACTTGCGACCCAGAGTAGCTCAAGCAGCTCCAGCGGTCCCAGCAGCACCCGCAGTCCCGGCAGCCCCAGCCGCTCCGGTCCCAGCAGTTCCAGCTCCAGCAGTTCCAGCTCCCGGAGTCCCAGCTCCAGCAGTTCCTGCTCCAGCAGTTCCTGCTCCAGCAGTTCCAGCTCCCGGAGTCCCAGCTCCAGCAGTTCCTGCTCCCGGAGTCCCAGCTCCAGCAGTTCCAGCTCCAGCAGTTCCTGCTCCCGGAGTCCCAGCTCCAGCAGTTCCTGCTCCAGCAGTTCCTGCTCCCGGAGTCCCAGCTCCAGCAGTTCCAGCTCCAGCAGTTCCAGCTCCCGGAGACCCAGCCCCAGGTGCCCCAGCCGATGGCTCATGGTCCATCCCGTACGACCAGCAAAAGGGCGACACCAGATATGCGCCTATGCAGCCTAAGCCGGCAAAGGCGATCACTGCCACAAATACAAAGCCACTGTGGCCAACATCAACGGTCAAGATAGCCACGACCTTCTTGCCGGCAGCTACCATAGTGACCACCATAACACAACCGCCAACTGGCACGGCGGTGATGCATGCTAATACGGTAATTATTACTTGTATACTTTTGTTTGGTGTCAGACGCTAACAGACTACGCAGGCCGCTGCCCAATCGCAACCTGACAATGACATGCAGAAGTATCTCAAGAGGTGGAAGGACTGACGTGATGAATGAGGTCCTGTCTCATGGATGGCACAGGTGTGAGATAATTGGAATTAACTGGCGCTACTTAGACTGGAGGTATTTACCATATATTATGGCGCAATGTGAGACTGTTGGATAGTCAATGAGGAGGGCCCGAGAGACATTGGAGACTGGTTGGTTTTAACGTTTATAGATTTGGATGGCGTCATGGAAAGTGTAGCTGAAGCGGCCACTTATGTAACAATTAAGGGCAATATACAAGTCAATTTATACGTGTGACAGGTTTCATTTGGATTTCGAACTAAACGGTGTAAATTCCGAATATACTTCTTGACAAAAAATATCTCACAGACCATCAGCAGTCTGCGGTGGTAAAGCAAAACATCTCCCATTACCATCAGATATCTGTGGTGGTAAAGCAAACGCCTCCTAGTACATCAGCTATCTGTGGTAGGTATGATAATTCTGTAAGATTAGATTATGCTCCGTTGATGAGCTTCTCCATCTCATCAACGTCCTTCACGGCAGTCGTCAGGTTCTCATAACCATCCTTCGTGATCAGAATGTTATCCTCGATGCGTACACCACCAACTTCCCAGTACTTCTGCAACACCTCAAAGTCGATGTAAGCAGAGTGAACTGGGTCTTGCAGATACGGCTCGATGATGAAATTGCAGAAGTAAATCTATGGTTTGTTAGCTTCTACGCCACTGTATGGGAAGTAGAGGACTTACTCCTGGCTCGACCGTGACAATGGAACCTGCTGGTAGGTTCCCTCTGAGACGTAAGTATCTGAACATAGTGTCCTTATCGCTGGCGTTAGGATTGCCGCCACTGTCGTGTGTATCCATGCCAAGATAGTGGCCAACTCCGTGGGGATAGAATGCAACACTGGTTCTTGACTTAAGGATATCTTCTTTGTCTCCCTGAAGAATCCCGATTCTCAGCAGCCCTTCAATGGCAACCTTGTGTGCCTCAAGATGAACATCATCCCAAGCAACACCCTCTTTGAGCATATCTATACAAACTTCTTGCATGCGCAGAACGATGTCGTAAATCTCCCTGCTCTCTTTGCTGAACTTGCCATTGATAGGAAACGTCCTGGTCTTTCATAACAGTCAGTCCGGACCCAACAAACTTTGGGGCAAACTCACAATATCCGAGGCATAGCAGGAATAATCTGCACCACCGTCAACAAGGAGATTAAGCTTGCCGTCAAGGGGCTGATCGTTCTTGAGATAATGCAGAGTTGCTGCGCTTGTTCCAGCAGCAAAAATAGGGCTGTATGCCTGGTTTGGGCATCCATTTGCAATAGAGCGCTGCAAGAAGAGCGCCTGTAGCTCACGCTCGTTCTTTGCGCTCTTGACAGCCTTTAGCACAGCTGTGTGGGCAATCGTAGAGACTTCGTTTGCCCTACGAGTTAGCGCAACCTCGTACTTGTCCTTGACAACACGGCATTCTTCAATGGCTGGCTTCAAGAGATCAAAATCTGTGTTTTCAAAGTCCAGGAAGGTGACATCATCGGGGACTTGCCCGGCAATAGCAAACACAGTCTTCTTGGATTGCGAAGTTCTGAGAACCTGGTTCACTTGTGGGATGGTCCGGACCTGGTCGACATCATAGAGCTCCAAAGCTTCCTTCTCAGATAGCGGCAGTCCGGACCAGATGACAGAGTCCGGATCGATGGCGGGGATGTAAAGAGTTAATTTCTCAGGGGCGATGTCATATGTAAGTTGGCAATCGGGAACGTCACATCCACTGAGATAGTAGAAGAATCGTCGCTGGCTGGATGCTGGAAGTTAGTATTGTATGGTAGGAAGTGCAGCACAAAAGATGTTACCGGAAATGGACAGGCTCATCGTTATCCTCTATCAGGCGCGTCTTCTGGCCCTCCAAGTACAAAACACCAGCAGCCTCTGGCTTGGTCTTCTTGATATATTCGACTACACGGCGAGCATGGGCTTTGGCGGGGTATTTCCCGGCCAGGATGGCATCAACGCTGGAGGCCATTGTGGAGAAGCTACTATGACTTCGATATGATACAGTGGTGGTGGCAGTCCAGAGACTTCCGTAGCAGATATGACGAGCTTGGAGTCGGGGTTTGCGGTGGCTGATACGGGTGAATTGTCTGTATTGAGCTCGCAATATGAATGTGCTGGTCACGAAAAAGCAATTGACCATCGCAGTGTGCAGTGGGGTGCCGCGGATGGGGATTTATATAACCAACGATGACCGCCGTCGTTTAGGTAAGTAGTGGTAAGTAGTGCACTGGATTGTAGTGGGATGGTAGTGGGATGGTAGTGAGATAGGTAGCACTAGGAGCGGGGTAAGATGTGGGTAAGATGTACCGATACAAGCTGTTTTGCCAAGCGAAGGCTAAGTAAGCGCAGTATCTTAAGGGAGGTGGTGCCATATAAAGGTACAAGTACTTTTTTTCCCTGGCATCTGTAAAAGCCAAAGCGACCAAACCATAAAAGGCGGGTAGCGACGGAATACTTTTATCGCCACTATTTGGGTGCCAATTTTTACTGAACTACATACAAATTGTCGAAAAAAGAAAAAGGTACGACAAATATTGTCCTCATTACCTTCACCTCAATAGCTACAAAGCTAACACATTTAGAAACTATTACTTTGCCCATAATGGCGTCGTCAAGCAAGCCCGCCATCTACCCCACTGCCGCCCAGTCGGTGTCGGAACTGATTGGCAACACGCCCTTGGTGAGACTGAATAAAATCCCACAAAGCTTGGGCATTGAGGCCGAGGTTTATGCCAAGGTCGAACTCTTCAATGCGGGCGGCAGTGTGAAGGATCGCATTGCCTTGCGCATGGTGGAGGAAGCTGAGAAATCTGGCCGCATCAAGCCTGGAGATACGCTTATCGAACCCACCAGCGGAAACACGTAAGTCCTTGTCACTGCTGAATTACATGTTCCAGCTAACGTGGCAAAGTGGTATTGGGCTTGCACTTGTCGGCGCAATCAAGGGTTACAAGACAATTATCACTTTACCGGAGAAGATGTCGGCCGAGAAGGTTACTGTCCTTCGCGCTCTGGGCGCCACCATCATACGAACCCCCACCGAAGCTGCCTGGGACGCACCAGAATCGCATATCGGCGTTGCGCGACGACTGCTGAAGGAGATTCCAAACTCGCATATTCTCGACCAATATGAGAACGTGGATAACCCATTGGCCCACGAGTACGGAACCGCCCAAGAAATTTGGGAGCAGACAAATGGCAAGATAACCGCTATTGTGGCCGGAGCTGGAACTGGCGGTACGATTACTGGTCTCTCAAGAGGGCTGAAGAAGCACAACAAAGACATAAAGGTTATTGCGGCGGACCCACAAGGGTCAATTTTGGCGCTCCCCGAGCAGCTGAACGAAGAACACGCCAACGAGGGATACAAGGTTGAAGGAATTGGTTATGATTTCATCCCTGGCGTCCTAGACCGCCAGTCTGTCGATGCCTGGTATAAAACAGATGATATAGAGTCATTTTCCTTTGCTCGTCGATTAATTGCCGAGGAGGGTATTCTCGTTGGGGGAAGCAGTGGAAGCGCAATGGCAGCCATGGTGAAGGGAGTTAAAGACCTCGGGCTTGGAAAAGGAGACGTCGTTGTTGTTGTCCTGCCTGACAGCATCCGAAGCTACTTAAGTAAGTTTGCGGACGATGATTGGCTTGCTGCGAACGACCTCCTCCCACCGAGTCCACCTACGACTCCCTCACCATCAGCCCCTAAATCCAAGCACGACCCATATAGTGGTGCTACCCTGAGGGCTTTGAGGCTCAAGCCCGTCACTACAATTTCCGCAAGTTCTTTCTGCGCAGACGCAGTTGAGACGATGAGAGATAAGGGCTTTGATCAGCTTCCAGTTTTGGCGTCGTCGGGAGGAAAGCTGGTCGGTCTGGTGACGCTGGGTAATATTCTGAGCTATATCAGCCGTGGCCGTGCCACCGGCAAGACTCTTGTCTCCGAGGTCATGTTCGACTTCTCAAAGATCCCAGAGGTTGTCACAGACCCCAAAGACTACAGTAGCAACCTGAAAGACCTACCCAAGGTTGACGGTGCTGCTGCTCAGGAGGACACTAAGCCGCAAAGCCTGCCGAAGAGGAAGTTTGTCCAGATTACGATGGATACTCCATTAGCCTCTCTGAGCAAGTTTTTCGAGTGGAACAGTGCGGCAATCGTTACAGAGAAAGGGAGCGCTGAGACCGCAGGTCTGCCAAAGCCAGTCGCTGTTGTGACCAAAGTAGACCTCGTTTCGTGGATGATGAAACAGTCATCGGTCTAGGTTTGCAGCGTCTCGTTAATATTACCACATAATACATTTGTCCACCAACAGTATTGCCATGATCTTTTGGTGCTTGGTTTGCGTTCTTTATAACAATTGTTTGCCCCCAACTTAATTTAAGCTACTAACTTATGTGGTGCCTCCTTTAGCCGGTTACCTGTCATCCGGGGCTTCACCGCTCTTGATTTGAACTAACCCTGCACAAACATATCAAAGGCCTGATAGTTCAGTGGTAGAATTCTTGCTTTGGGAGCTCATCAGCATTCAAATTGTAAGAGGTCTCCGGTTCAATCCCGGATTAGGCCCTTTCCTTTGCCAATTCAATCTCTTTTTGAAAATCCAATTTTTTATGGGGTGGATGGATGCCCCGCTGTTTTATCTCCGCCGAGGTATTTTTAGTCGACATGACTACCGATCGATCGACGAAGTAAAGGTGAGAGATCCGTCCACTCTGGTCCACCCTGTTGTAACCCATACTCATTCCCACGCTGACTCACGTTCTCGCTCTCGCACTCACTCTCAGCAGCTTCTAGGTCCCGAATTAGGTCTTGATCCTCTAGAGGAACTGGGTTGCCAGCTCGAAGAAGAGCTTTTACCCTCTTTTTCCAGAGGCGCTCTGCCCTCCGGGCCTCAACCCCAGCTCTTTTGAGCTGGTTATTAGCCTGGTTTCTAGCCTAGCGGGCTACCTAGGCTTCTTTGGCTACAAGCTTCTAGGCTTGAAGCTCGGCTTTCTAGGCCCGAACTAAAGCTAGGCCCGGCTTCGGCTTGCCCGCTTCTTCGACTCCTCGCCGAATAGCCCGTAGGTCGTGTTCTTAGTTAATGCATGCGCTACTAGCATTCTCATATATAGAATATTAGTACATATAGACCCTTTATATAAGAGGAATAAGTTATAATAATTTTATTAATAGAGTTAACGTGGTCAGCATGTGGCGCATATTAGCATACAGCGCATATAATGCTAACTTCTAAACGATAGAAGACACAGAGGTTTCTTGCATAAGGTTGACTTAACAGAGGAGGCAGGGGATTAAACACAAAGGCTTTCCAAGTAACATGCTACAGTATTGTAAAGAATACTATATTGAGTTGAGCGCGAAGCTCCTATCTTGTAAGGACACAGGGCACCCAGCTCACAGTAATAGCATATGAGAGTGCGAGTCAGAGGCTAAACGGATGCTATCCTATAGGTCTACTACGAAGGATACAAAAAGATGAAGAGGGGAACCCCTGTTACAGTCAATCTCCTTAAGTACCCGAAACGGGTCCGACTCGGCTAACCTGCCTTCACCCTCACCACGTGACCGTGATTTGTCTGACTCAGATACCTTCCATCACTGAGGGAGAGGAACCCCCATTGAGTCAATCTCCTCAAGTACCTGAAACGGGTCCGACTCGGCTAACCTGCCTTTACTCTTATCATGTGACCATAACCTGCCCGACTCAGATCCTTTCTGTCACTGAGGGACAGGCATCCTTACACTACCCCCCTCCTGAGAGAGTGCTTTGTCTGCAAGGCATGCGGCTAGTATCATGTCCGCAACGTCTCTGAATGGTATCCGTGAGCAGAGCGTTCTTTGTTATCAGAATGTTGGCTGGTAATTGCGTCCGGAACAACTTCGTTTGTCGTGCGCGTCGGGAAGGTGCTTTGTTTGCCACAGCAGTCATCCTGAGGTGGTATCACGTTAGCATCCATTTAGCATGCGAAACTGGAGCTCGCTTTTGTTCGATCTCACGTTCATGTAATGGTGGGTGCACCAGATGTGAGAATCTAGCCACCCAAGGAAGGGATGATTTTACTAAGACAACACACTGTCTTAGGAAAAAGAGCCAAAGGGTCGTAACTTAGACTAACGTAGGTCATGGCGTAACGGGGGTAATGGCGTAACGGGGGTAGTGGGGTCGGAACCACCCCATCAAACCACTACCACCTTTAAAAAATTGAAATTGTTCAATTACTACTAGGCTAATTCATCTAAATCGCTGTCATATATCTCTTCTTCACCCTGTCTGTCTATTTCCTCAATTGTAGCTTCCTCTATAAGTCGTGGTGTTGTTCTAGGCCTCTGTGAAGCTGTTGCTGTTGCTGCTTCTGCTTCTGCTACTTGCGACCGGAGTTCTTCTGTAGAGATGTGGAATTGACCCTTCAAAACAGCTCTTTTACCCTTCTTTTGCTCCCTTCTTTTCTGAATTATGTTGCGCAAGTTATCCGTCTGTCTTTGCTGTAGTATGTGGCGTGTGTTAAGCCTCTCTATCTCATCTGCTAACTTATGAATATATCGCTTTGTAGGAGTGTTCAAAACACCACCACGACTTATTGTAGAAGAGAGAACTGTATTTGCTTTGTGAAGTGTTGAAAAATCAGGTGGACTGCTGTTCAGAAATACTTTCTCAAAAATGTCATGCTCTGTTGGAGTCTTTGGCCGCACTATTACTGCATCTGTTGTAGGAAGCGTAGCTGCGCGGATAACTGTCTTGTAATGGTGGGTGCACCAGATATGAGAATCTAGCCACCCAAGGAAGGGATGAATTTACTAAGACAACACACTGTCTTAGGAAACAGAGCCAAAGGGTTGTAGCTTAGACTATTCCACAACGCAGCAATCAGGTGTATGATGTGGTGAAGTGGTTTAGACAAGTTGCAACAAATGTTGAGTCTGAGAACTCAGGGGTAAGTCAGAGGTTAGCACCTCACTGACTTTTCAAAAACAGAGAATAACAAGATCAATGCTTGGAAGCTTGGAAAAGACGTAGAAGTATGTTCTAGTCGATTTACTGTATTGCCTGCTTGCCCTTTCTTAAGGAAAGGGCAATCCTATTTATGCCAAAGGAGTGTAGTTCTCTCATTTTCCAAGACTTTCCATGACTAACCAGGCTTGGTAAATGTATTAGAAATCAAGTGCGACCCACAACTAGCTTGCTAATCATGTAGTGAACGTAAGAGAATCCCATAGAACCATCTCTTGGGTTCCTAGCCTATAGGAAGTGAAAAGGAGGTCCAAGGTCAGAGTACCTATAGACAAATTATGTCATAACTTAACCAATCTTGTGGGTAACTAAGGAGCGATGACGTGTAATGAATCATAGAGGGTTGTAGAAGCTTCTAGAGCTATCGTTCATGTTCCTAGGCCTCTAGTTGGTAGAGATATGCCATGTGGTAGTATTGGCCCACCCCCTTAAGGAGGAGATTTTCTTAATAACTTGTTCAATGAGTGTCCAAATGATATGCCGTGATGTATGTAGCATAAACAGATGTAGTAGAAGAGTTTGCAGCAATCGTTGAGTAGTATTGCTTCTGTTGTTGGTGTGATAAGCCAAGATATGTATGGTGACTTGTAGGTTTGAGGAGGAGATTTCTAAGTTTGCTCTTGAGTTTGATAGCAAACTGAGTGCAACGAATGTCAGTATGACATGTCTGCGGTTGAAATGGCTGTAGCCCACTCCCTCTCCAAGCAGAAGCTATATTTGAATTTGAAAATGCAGCTGCTCTTGCTTGTATGTATGCATCCATCCATTCTGCTTTCTGTATGCGTAGGAGCTGCGCCTCATTAAGGTGTGAGAGGGCTGTTGTGAGGTGTCTTTTCAAAGGTCCAAAAATTGCAACATCAAGTGGTTGGAGTATATGTGAGGTATGTGGAGGTAGTATAAGGAGCGATATGCGATTCTGTATGCAGTGTGATATGAAGCTCCCACTTATATGGCTGTCATGGCCATCACAAATAAGGAGCCTTTGTTGTAGTTGTCCATTTGGAAGTGTTGCTTTTGCTCTTGTAGAAGGCGTTTTAGCCACTCATATCCATGAAGATTGCTTGTCCATCCCTTTGTATTTGCAGAGAAGTGCCATTTGCTTATAACATCCTTTGGAATCCAGCTCTGTAGTACATTCTGTCCCTTGAAGATAATGAGGGGGTCGGTGGTTGTTCCATCCATGCAGATGCACTCAACAGCAGAGACCCATTCCTGCCTTCCTGGATGTGCCTGAAAACGTGTCCTAAGTGTAGAATCGACTATAATTCGTGTAGATTGCATTGTTCCAATTGAAAATCCAGTCTCATCCATGTTGTAGGTGTTGTAGTTTTCGATTTTTTGCTCTGTTGTGAGGCTCTTGTACGCGTCAAACCACCCCTTCAACACCTGCTTTGTGACCCCATTCATCCTTTGTGCCTCAACCCTTCTTCCTAGCTTAACACGTAAGTTAGGATGCCTCTGAATGAACCGTGGCACCCAATCTTGCCCAAGTGGTAACTTAGGTAGTTGGAGTTGTGGTTGTTGAGTTTGTGTCTGTTGAGTTGGTCGGGTCTGCTGAGTTGGTCGGGACTGCTGAGTCGGTCGGGACTGCTGAGTTGGTCGGGACTGCTGCTGAGCCGGTTGGTTTGATGGGGTCTGCCAAGCCACTAGTTAGAAATAGCCGAGTCTGCCAGTCTATGGCAGGTTTGATGGGTTGGTAGTTGACTTGACTGAGCTGGTTAACTCTGTAGGTTGGCTCACATGGGTTTGGAAGACCCGACACTTGTTTGACCGCACTTCCTCTGCAACCTCACGTAATATGCGATGGCTAGGAGCGTAACCACTTGCAGTAAGATTTTTGATCCATTTTAAAAGGGTCTTTTCTTGGGTTTGGGAGAGTAATTGATGTTTTAAATGTGCTTCTTTATGTGAGGTATGTCGCCCTTTAATGCGGCTAACAACTGTATCAGGCCTTAGATGTAAGGCCTTTGCAGCAGCATTTGCAGTTTTATATAAACCAGATTTTACTCCAGCTACTGCTTCAAGTATTAGAATATCGCGTTCTTGAGCTTTTAAACTCCGTTTGCGTACCATAATAATGGGGTAATTGATAGGTTTGATGTGTTGGTTGATGGGTTTGATGGGTTAGTTAAGTGCTCGCTTACCTCACCATCCCGGTATGGCCATGGCCCCGGTATGGCCACGACCTACGTTAATTGATAGGTTTGGTGTGTTGGTTGATGGGTTTGATGGGGTAGTTAAGTGCTCGCTTACCTCACCATCCCGGTATGGCCATGGCCCCGGTATGGCCACAACCTACGTTACTGATAAGCGGAATCAGATGAACTAGACATATCTATAGCTTCTTGACAAGTTCGCGCATTATGACCAGCTTTTCCACAGATCCCACAGCATCGCCTAGACGGTTGCCCCTCCTTGCGACTACCCCCAACCGCACGTACGTCGCGTCGTACCTGCTCATCCACATCCTTCTGTGCGATAATAGCCTGTGCATCCTCTACTATAAGTGCACCTCCTTCACGGACACGAGCCTTTTTAGCCCTGCGGCGTTTGCTAAGGGCTTCGTTGGCTGCTCGAAGGGTACGTACCTCAGCAGACAGAAGGGTGTTCTCATGTGCTAGTCGCTCCGTACCCTTTGCCAATGCAATAACTGTCCCGAAGAGTGGAGTTGGCGAGCTTCCTTGGTGACGGGCAATTCGATTTCGAACGAGGGTTGTTTGTGAAAGAGCTTCAGTTGGGTTGGAAGGGGTCTGGGAGACCCAAGGGTTGGTGTTGGCAGTAGAGGGTCTAGATGGAGTTGGAGTCTGTAACCTCACGTCAAGCTTTGAAAGCACTGCTTGCGGGTCAAAAGGCACTAAGCCAGCTCTGCGGAACCCGGACTGGGCGTTTTGGGCTGTCATGGATTCCAGATATGCTGCTCTAAAGGCGAGAAAGAACTCGACCTTGGTAATGTGGTTGATATGAGCCTTAATGAAGGTCTCAATCTGCTGACCATATGCCCGCTTCAACACACTAAAGCACCCGACATCAAGTGGCTGAGTTAAATGAGACGAGTGGGGAGGTAAGTTAGTCCAAGAGTTATAATGTTGTGTGCCTTGCAGTACTCTTGGAACTCGGCCGATTCATGACTCTCGTGCCCGTCTAACACCAGCATTCGATATGGACCCCTTGCACGAACAGCAGTATGTTTGTCAAAGTGTTTCAACCATTCTAGACCCGTCTCATTGTTTGTCCATCCATTTCTTGTCGGTTTAACAACCCAGTTGTGTGGAAGGCCGCCGTCTGTATACCAATTTGCAAGATGATTCTTGCCTTTAACTACCAAAAATGGAGGAATACTCCAGCCGTCACTGTTGATACAAGCAATCGCTGTAGCCCATTCCCGATTCCCTGGCTGAACTGCCTTACCTCTGCCAAGTCGATCTGCACGGGTAACAACCATTGCAGGGCAAATCACACCCATAGTTTTGTCAAAGTTATAGAAGTCGCAGTCCAAAACACCATATTTTGCCCTTATATTTTCCACTAACGTAACTCGTGGCGTAACGGGACGGATGGCGTAACGGGACGCTTTGCCAGAGCCACCCGCACCTCACGAAAACCAAGGTCACATGACTAAAATTAAAATGTTAATAACTTTTGTAATAATGCTTATAACGCTTAATCCTCTTAGACTATTACTCTTTATAGTCTTATTTCTTATAGCCGAATTTGCTAGAGTGTAAGCTCTTCTTATTAAGTAGTTATTTATAGTTTAATTTTTACCATATAAATATTTTATATAGTAAAATGTAAGCTTTAATATCTTTTGTAAAACAAAACTAGTACTACTAGGGTTTTTACACATGTTAGAGTATGATATAAAGAGTAATAGTCTAAGAGGATTAAGCGGCATAAGCATTATTACAAAAGTTATTAACGTTTTAATTTTCATCATGTGAACTTGGTTTTGGTGGGGTGCGGGTGGCTCTGGCAAAGCGTCCCGTTACGCCAT